TTATGATTATTGTTTAACTATGTCTTATCAATCTGTTGTCTTTTGAGATAAACACGTTATCTACCACAACTCTACCATTCATTCCACAAAAAGCAAATTGGTGATCAAATATATATTTTTTTGGTGATCATTTCGCAACTAACACATTTTGGTGATCAACAGTCATTTTTTTGGGGATCAAAAGTCTATTTACCCATTATGAAACTTCAATCTAATATCTATAAGAAACACGTGAATCTCGTTTTTGTTTAAAAAAAACATTTCGTTTTTGAGATCAATGGTATTGCTGTCAATCACGCTTAACTGGTAAATCAATACAATTTTCTATACGTCGTCGACCATTTCAAGATACAAATATTTTTAATCGACCATGTAGCACTAGTCGTAATATAATGCTCAAACAAATAAAACAAATTCGTCAGATTAAAAACCACAATATGAATATAAATGAATTAAATTGGAATACTTAGTTTTTCTCGTTGTTTTTCCTTGCAATAAACAAGTCGATAGTGAAAAAGAAACTAATTTTTATTAAATAATAACTATTTAACCACTCTATGAATAATAATAGTTATGTCAACTTGTACTGTATTTTATTTTAAACGATTGGACGACATTTCTAACGAACCATATAACTGTCCGAATGAAATAAAGTCATTGTTTGATGAAATTCTATATTTTTCGAACTCAATGAACGAAGAAAAGAACTTTGAATCGAAAAATTCATTGGGAAATTTTGATCAAAAAAACGATAATGCAGCTTTGATTGTATCCGAATTGATTGATTTACTCAACGATGAAAGAACATATCGAGATATGGGCATTATCATTGAAATTACTAAAACTGTACATTTATTAATAAAACAAGGTGGATCTCGAAGCAACGAGGTTCTTGCCCATCCAAATGTGAGTAATATTCATTGTTGTTATGTTTGATTATTACATTGTCAAAATAATACAGAAGAGCGATAAAGAAAACAATTGATAATGGCATTATCTTTTTTCCATTTATCATACTTCATTCATTACCTATTCCTATTGAAAAATTTGAATAGCAATAATATCTTATTCATTTTATAAAACATACACTGAAACTTGTTAGTTGAACCTACTGAAAATTTAAAAACCAATGATTTCTGATCTCGCCATAAAATTTTGGATATTCTTTTTTTTTAAATAATATTCTATATAATTTATTTTCCCTATTGACTGAATTCTTATGACATAAATTTATAGTTATATAATCATTTTTAAGTTGATCATAACTTTAACAAAATTATTCAATACCGACAATGATCTTACACGTTTATTGGCAAGTTTATTTCATGATCTTTCAATTGAAGAAGATGGAATCCGATTATTACTTCTAACTGGTGTTATACCAATTCTTCTTCAAACACTGGAGTATAATTTAAAATGATATTGATTATCTTATCGTGTTTATCTTTTTAATTCTTTGAGTAGATCCTTAAATGATGATGTCATCAATTTTGTGCTTACCACACTTCGTAATTGTCTAATTGGTTTAAACGATGAATCAGCAGAAGAAATTCAAGCGCATAATGGCTGTATGACACTCATATCTTTGCTCATTCATCGACATTCAAATAAACAAATGAATTTTCTTGCCGATTGTCTATTGCGTTTAGCTATGTTTAATACAAATGCACAAGTAAAAACGATTGTTAATTACATGATATGAATATATTTATTCATTTATTTATTTATTAGATTTATTTACAAACAAGTAAATTATTTTTACAAGAATTAGTTACTATACTCGATGAAACAAATTACAATAAACTCTCATTTACACTCATACGTATGCTTCCATTATTATCTTCGAACATAAATACAAAATCGATATTGATACAATTTAATATAATTCCAATACTTGAACGTATATTACATATGAAATATGATTATAAAATTCAACGTTATTGTCTGTTAACATTGAGAAATTTATCCGATCAAATTATTAACATGGTAAATATTGATTGTTTGAATTTATTTTTATTGATAATTTTTTCTTTGATGTTTTAAGGATAATTTTGATTCATTAATTATTACATTTCTACAAATACTTCCATCGACGAACGATATACAGATAAAAATGTATATTATTGATATTCTATCCAATTTATCATGTGAAAATCAATCTAATAAAGCATTAATGATACGAAATAATGCTATTCAAATACTTGTAACTATTATTATTCAAAATGATCAAAGAGATAATATTATTGAATCAACAGTACGTATAAACATGAGTTTCTCTTGTCATTAATATACACAGGTTGTTATAAAATTCTTGTGAAACAATCAGGTTGAATAAATTATCATTTGCGCAAACGGTATCAACAAAATTTCTATCGTTTTATTGTATTATTTTTTACCAGTTTTGTCTCATGTAGTTTTATGAGTTACAAATTCTTGTTACTAACTGAATGTGATCATGAGTTGACATTATATATTGCATATTGTTTAAGAAAAATACTTTCAAGAAACAGTGAGGGATATTATAAATAAAAAGCTCATCGAATAGAACTACTACCTCTGAGAGAAGTTTCGTTTTATTGAGCATTATTACGATTCAGTATGCAATCTAATGAACTTTTTTCATTGTTCTTCTGATGTTATTAAGTTCAAATATTCAATATGTAACCTATATATGTATTAGAATACCACATTGATCAAGATGTTGAGACAATACTTTAATACTTTCGTTTTCTAAGGTTTCAGTGTCAACAGCCTTTCTGTCTTCCTGTTAGATTGTCCTAATTCAGTCTCTAATAAATTAATTTATATTCAAGCATAACATAGAAATTAGTCGCACAAGAGTTGTTCAAGATACTTTTTTTCTAGTGAACTTTCGGAATACTACAATCTCCTCAGGCTTTACTACAAATTTTGACAAATACTAGCTAGATATTATCACACGCAGGGATAATGACTGTTGATATAATATTAACGGAAGTATGCCAATAACGTCTCATTTTAATATACGAAGTAGTACTTCATTTTTGCATATCTAGGAGGTGAAGTAGAAAGATAATGCAGAAATATGTCTTCACTTAAGTGGAATAAATTTTCTCATTCTTCTAAGTAATAACAGCTGCATATGGGCATCATATTTTATTTCTGCAAGGTTTGAGCTGATAAGTTTTTGAAGTGTCATAAAAAAAATCAAATTGAAATGCTAGTCAATCCATGAATATCTAATTGATAATTTAAGAATAGAAAGGCCTATGAGGTAACTTAGGAAGGTTATTTTTAGTGAGATCAAATAAATACTCCCGCTGCTAAATGAAATAATTAAAATAATAAGTTCCTTGTAGTATATAGGATAAAAGATATTTATAGTTTGTATCATGTAGAGATACTTCAAAATCTCAGCACGATTGTGTTCACCTTTTTTTTCATATTCAAAAGCCGTATTGCACCATTTGAGCTATTCTGTCTAGTATACTTTCATATTGTACGTGATATTGGTTATTCTTCTCTAACTCATTTAATTCTATTGAAGAAAAATCAACAAAAAAAAAAAAACAGTAAACTCAGTGCTACAAAAATTTTGAAATATATATCTATGATATAGAGTCGAATAGTTCGGTCCATGCAAACTGAGCAACTCAGAGTTTATTTAGTTACTTTGGAAGTAAGCGTTTGATCATGTAGCTCGAATATCTTCAACATTCTTCATTCATTCGACATGTTGTTCCATTATCAAAAGAATGAAAAATGAAGAATTGACAGGTCCCTCTTTGTTTCTAAACAGGTCTTCAATTTATGAAAATCTTTTTCTATTTTGTATTCGCTTGATTAATCCTTTTGAATGCATAGATGAAGTTCTGTAGCATTTAGCTTAAATTAAAGCCATCTATAAATCATTCATGAAAAATAACGCCCACATAGGAAATACAATTCTACTTTTAATAATATGAACTCTGGAATATTATATACAAAAATTCAACGAACTGTTAGCGTGTCAAAAACTAAGTCTGATTTGTTGGAGCTGACTAAATCAAATATCATTCTATGTCGCATTTATATAGCTTTATTATTGTTGTAGTCGTGTGATCAACATACTGGGCGACAACGACTATTCTGTCAACAGAGAAGTAATAAAAAACTGTTTTATGCGGGACGTGAAAATAAAATATTTAAGAACAACTAGAATCATTCATTACCAAGGACATTGAAGATATTTTATTCTAAAGCCATAATATGTCCATAAAAGCTATTAATTAACAATATATGCGCGGGATGTTTTCGATACCTTTTAGATTGATGAAAAAAAGCTTAAATTTCCATTAGAACTTCTCTTTCTCGATTAGAATATTACGAGAAGCAGAACGGCTATAGATCAAATGTCAAAAATTAAGTAATCCGATGAACACGAATAATTAGTTTTAGATCGTAGGAGTTTGTTCCTCTAGTGATCATATCATTAGTAACATGTTTACACTGAATTTCAAGGGAAAAAAGTAATTGTTAATGCGAAATTGTCTTACTTTCTCAATGAACGTATAACATCTCAGCCTAGATTCTAACTTCGGTCAGTGTGATCATTGTTCTCACTACCGAAACGACATTTTGAAATTAAAAATATCTGTTCAACAGCTGTGTTTTTTAAAGATCTATCTTCTAATTAAGCATATAAATAAATTATAGACGCGCAGAAATGATATTAGCAAAAGGACTAAATTGTTTATTGGATTTATCTTGCGAAGATCTTTACGAAAAATGTCATGAAAATATGTTGTTCTTTTTTTTTATCTTAACAGCTATGTACTCTTCGACACTTAACTGGTAAATGTCCGTTGGCACATGAAGCTCGTGAATATATTCGAATAAATCATGCGATTCCATATCTTATAAAATATCTTCATACAAAAGAAAATAGTTGGTCTTTACTTAAGACATGTATTGGTCTTATACGTAATTTAGCATTATCATCGAGTAATTTAATCATACTGTGTGAACATCGAAGTGTATACAAAATAGGAAAATTATTTTTTCAAATGAAAACTACACCTGAACGTATCGAATTATTTATCACGACATTATTTGTTTTCTGTCGACAACAAAATGAAAAACTTCAAATGAGTATTTATGATCAAATTATTGATTCAGGTTGTATTGAAACACTTGTTCAAGTAAGAAAAAAAAGGAAATGGTATAGTTTGTTTGTATTTTAAATATATTTGATATTTATAGTTTGCATCATCAACTAATTTTGGTAGAATTCAACAAATGTCTATGGAAATTTTAGATGACTTAAGTCAAAGTGATCGAATTGAACATCGAGAAATGATTAGAGAAACAGATAAATCAGTAAAAATTGCACAATTTTTACAACAGAGCTAAATATTTCTTAATTTTCTTTCTTTCTTGTGTTAAATATATTTATTAAAAAATAAAACGTATAGCTACTTTATTAGTGACCAACTTGACCAAGAAGTCTTTGTTATTTACATTTAAGTTATCGAACTTAAACAGCACCTGAGCGAAAGATTTATTTTTAATAGAAAGACATTTTGAAAGAAGCAAGAAAAAAAATGGATATCCAAATACCATAAGATTGTATTGAACAATGATCCGGTAAATGATTAGAAAAGGAATTTCAAAAAGAAAGCTGATGATGCTGAAAACCATAATGAAAAACACATGAATTTTTTGTTAGCATCGTTGCCGATTTCTGTCATGAAGTTACAAGGAATCAAAGTCATTTGGACTAAAAAATAAGGCTAATATCAAATATTTGAATAATCGATTCATCTTTATTACATATGATCGAAAAACATCAATGTATTTTATCAATTATTTTACGCACTGTATTGTAAGCCTATGGAAATTTCATTCAATAAATAAAGATTTGAACGTTACGATTATACCTTAGGAAACTGGTATGGTATCTGATAAAAATTAGCGCCCTCTATTGCATGCTACTTGTGATTGCTCAAATAGATGCTATTGGGTAGCTATTTTTATCACCTGACTGTCAACAAACAAATAGCAATAATAACAAAAAAACAGCGTAGAAAGAAAAGAAAAGGTTAGTTTTTATTCACTTCGTAGACAGAAGGAAAAAAAGAACAAATCATGTGAGAAATTTTCTTTAATGATCAAAAACATTCTTATGCCGTATATATTCATGTAAAATATAAACTTATCATGGCTAACGATTCACAGCAACTTGGTTTAATAGAAAAGAACTCCCATTTAAAGTAGGTTATCAATCATAAATTTGCTTATCTACATTCTTTTCTTTCCCTCTATTATATTAAATCCTTATCTCTTCGCATAGTTATCTACGTGATTTTCGTGTTGAACAATGTCAATTATTTCTTCAACATAAATGCACACAGTAAAACAAAATAGAAATATATCGTGTCATTGAAAATAGTTTTATTTTGTCTAGACATCGTCCATTTTCATGTTTTTATTGGCATTTTCAAAATCAACGTCGTCGTCGACCATTTCGACGAAAAGATGGAACATTTTCATATGATCCTGATTTTTATTGTAATGATTATGATGAACAAAGTGGCGTTTGTTCCAATGGTGATGAGTAAGTTTAGTAGTTAAAACTGTTTTTTTCTCAAATAAATTTCTTATTAACATCTTTATTCTAGTTGTCCACTTTTACATCGAAATGCCAATGATACAGAAAAACGGTATCACTTACGTTATTATAAAACAGGTTTATGTACTCATGAGTCTGATGCAAAGGGACATTGTCTTAAAAATGGTGCACATTGTTCATATGCTCATGGTGCAAATGACTTACGACAACCAGTTCTCGATAGTCGAGAGATACAAAATAGTGATTTAGCGTTAGAACGACTTACACGCTTATGTATTAGTTTAGAAAATGAACGAGCTTTAAACGATGATCCGAAATGGAGTGGTAAGAAACAAATGTACTCAATGTATTTATTAAAACCATATGATTTAGATTCACATTATGTACTTGCAAATTACAAAACAGAACCATGCAAACGTCCACCACGTTTATGTCGACAAGGTTATGCTTGTCCACAATATCATAATCCTCGTGATCGTAGACGAAATCCATCAATATTTAAATACAAGTAGTTCTAACAAGAACATATACTTGTTCATTTTTTTTTATAAAATAATGCAATATATATCATATTTCTAGATCAACACCATGTCCACATGTTAAACAAAGTGATGAATGGATTGATCCAACTGTATGTGAAGTCGGTGATAGCTGTAAATATTGTCATACACGTACTGAACAACAATTTCATCCTGAGGTTTGTTTTATTTAGAAAAACAAGAATTTTGTTTTATACAAGTTCTGTTCTTTTTTAAGATCTATAAATCAACGAAATGTAATGATGTTTCAGTAACTGGTTATTGTCCACGTGGACCATTTTGTGCTTTTGCTCATATTGAACGTATGTACAATAGTATAGATTTATTCGTCCTTACCAAACTATTTCTGTACTTATCAATCCGAAAATCTCTTCGTTATATTTGATAGGAGATTTAAGACGAAAATATTCACTTGGATTTATATTCTTCAGTCTGACAAGACGAATATAAAATGCATCGAGTGAAAAAATACTAGCAAATTTTGATTGTTTTCTAAGAATAATTAATTATCAAGGAAGTAATCTATCGTATTTCGAACAGAAACTACCGTAAAACAAAAGTCTATCTTATTATATCTCATATTTGTATTCGAAATCTCTTTTTCTAAGCTGTTTACAAATTTAACTTACAAATAAATATGTCGTGTATATCAATCATATCTGTAGAAGTAAGTCAACATTTATTTTTGTATACTTCACTAAGCTCAGAACTACTGATATTCATTCTTTCCCAAACTTTTAACATGATCAGTTGACGCTTTTCTACGCTAATCGTATAATAAATTGATTTATCATTACCCATCATCGGTCACATACTCTACATATAAACTGTTATTCGTACAACCAGTTCGAAGCGGGCACTATTTTCAAAATACGAAAATATATATTGTATGCTTTTGATATCTTTCTCCGTTGCTGTAAAATATTCAAATGAGTTTCTAGCACTTGTCATTTTCAGCCGTTATAAAAATGTACTCAATGACTCTTAGTATTCCTCTGACGTGCATTGGAGAGAAACCGCAAAACCTTGACTTGAAACGTGCATTCATTATCTTTATTCTAAAAAAAACCGCAGTGTCAGATTCACCAAACTAATGCGTTTTACAGAAAAATAACATGATTGGTCGAAACATGTTCGATACAAACACATACGCAGATACATGCATGTGTAAATCAATATACTCATTGTATTTCTAACTATACAGTTAATTTTGAAAACGGATATTTGAATATTAACACGTTCAGATATTGTTTTTGATTTAGAGTCATAAATTATAGTCTATCATGTAGTAATTTCCATAGATCTAAAAGTTTCTCATTAAACTAAAGCTAATGAAACACGTCTGATGCTGTAAACTTTATTACCAAGAATTTTTATCTAGTAAAATGAACAGCTTCTGTGAAGTATCTAAATAATAACTGATATCGAAAATAACGAACCATTTATTTTTATTGCTCATAATTATTTTCTTGTAGAGGAATTAAAATCATACAGAGATTTCGATCTTCACTATACTAATGAATTACCGTTATCATCTTTTATACCAATACCTGAAGACAAAGAAGTAGACGATATTGACGTAAGTCACATTTTACTTAAATCTTGTATAGTACGTTAATGTTTTTGTTTTGAAATCTTCAAGACATTACTATCAACAAGAAACATTCCGAAAAAACCTTCTCAATCATTGATATTCGAAGTTGGATCGTATCCAGGTGCCGCTATGAAAACAATGGAACAACACCTAGCCGATAAACATGTAAATAATTGAATTTATTCTTCTGAATTTATTATTTTTAATCATAGTCATTACTAACAAATAATTCTGGTAGTGGTTCATTTTCAATTCAAGAAATGCTTACACAACAATCTCCATCATCATCTCAACAATTGTTTCATCACTATAATCCAAATCCACCATTACCATCGACATCATCAGTTCTAAATGAACAATTTCTTTTATCAGCTGCTGCACTTGCTGCTAGTCATTCTTATCCTCCACCATCATCATTTCTATCATCACTTGCTGCATCAAATCTGTTATCCTCTCTAAATGCACATATGCATTTATTATCAACCGAACAACAAGTAACAACAGCACCACCAACAACAACACCAACGTCAAATTTTTTAAGAAATTTTAATGATAATTATAATGAAAAACAAAAATTCCGTGATCACCAAGCATCACCAATTGATGTTAAAAATTTAATTGGTTCATCATTAACAGCTCTTGGATTAGATAATTTTAATGCAGATGACTTTGATAAAGCAGCAATGAATGAAAGAAATAGTGCATTTTTATTAATCGATGATGATATTGAAAGTTTTGAACGTTCAAAAACGCCAGCAACAAATAATACATCACCAATACATACAATAACAATACCATCATCAACAACAAATCCAATGACGAGACCAGTTAATATTCCACATTCGTTTACAAAAGAACGTTTTTCACTTTCATCGTCAGCGAAATCACCATTTGATGCCCCCTATCAATTCTTTGATGGACCATTACAATCGGTATGTTTTTAATTCAGACAAAAATCACGTGTTTTGAAAAATTTTATTATCAAACTTTTTATTCTAAGCTATATCTATATACGTAGAAATCTTAGCGAAAATCTAAATAATTAAATATTGATAGAAATAGACAGCTGTGAAAAACATAACTTTTCTAAAAATCAGAGTTTCATTAAAATTTCAATTGGAAATGAATTGCGTTTTGAGATTTTGGAAAAGCAATGCAAAATATCTATGTGAAAGAAAATATTAAAATCGACAAAGAACACAACTAGGAAATTCGTATTATAAGCATGCAAATCTAATTATTGATATTTTACATGATTGGTTAATCTTGTTATAAAAGAAATCAACTAGTTCATGCAGAAGTTTGTTGAGTGCATACCGATCAATTTTTATCATGATAGTTGATGTTTCATGTGACATAGAAACAGAAAAATAATTGATGGTTTTTTGTGAAAAAATGGCAAACTAACGAAATCTTCATCCATTCAAGAAATGAATTGAAATACTAATTAATATATCATCTATATAAAACTGAAAATTCATATGCAGAATTTTTTCGGATTTATAAATAATATTTTTAATAGGATAAATTTTAAGAAGGGGCTAGCATAGGCATAGAATCATTTTGTAGACTCCAGCATTATGAAATGTTTGAAGTTCGCCACAAATGAATGAAACTTTTTATTGTATAATGACTTCACAAAAATAAAGTTATAAGAAGTAATCGATTGAAAACTGTTAGATATTGTATACTTATATGCGGAAATAATCATTCCATTGGATTCTATTCGTTTCAAGAAAGCTTCTATTGACCGTGTTCAAACAGAAGCATTTATAAAACTCTCTACTGATTCAGGAATATTAAAAAAATGTGATCGTTATCAAAGCACATTGACTGATTATAATGCAATAATAAGCTGTTTCAAATAACAGTAATGTAGGAAGAATTCGATAAAGTAAACTAGCTGATAACAAATTACAAGATAGAATTGAAAATAACAAATAAATTGATGGAGAAAGAAGATTTTTCAGTAGTATTTATAATATTTTTATGAATATTTAGCCTATTGATACTCCATTTCCTGAACCATCAACATCAAGCGGTGGTACTCATCGTCCTGGTGAGCTGTATAAAATGGCCGGTTTTAGTCAAGATTTACCCAGATCATCGCATCATATACAACCAACATCACCACAATTAGCATTTCATCGTATTAGTATACCTAATAATAACTCTTTGTCTCCGTCATCATCTTCAACTGAAATGGATCTAATGAGAAATCGTGTATTACAAATGCAAACATTAGCAATGACAGAAAAAGAAGTAATAAAAATAAACGAATGTTTTCTTTTCAATTTTAATCTTTTTTATTAATTGCTTTTCCAATAGTCATCTGATCATTGGCGTCGTGAAGCTGAAGATAATCATAGGTTAGTTGTTCAACTTGAACAAGAAAAGAATCGTGCAATACAACAACGCGATGATGCTCTTCGTCAATTTGAACAAATGCGTCATTTACTTATACATAACATGCGCTTATTACCAAGTGATAATGACTTATTGCAGTTAACACTTGATGATGTTCGATCATTACAAGCACGACTTCAACAGGAGTTATCGAAAATTACAAATGTAAATGTTATATTTATTATTATTATTATTATGTTCATTATTTGATAAAATATTTTTTTTAGATTGAACAAACAAAATCAAATAATACTCAACAAATTGCATCCGATGCTATTGCTAGTGCATCTTCTGGGACACCTCCAACAACATCAACTTCATCTGTATCACCTCGTCAACGACATCATAAAAATCAAACTGGCAAACACGTTTTAGTATCTTCATCGTCTAAACATTAGATATTGTCATTCTATATTAGTTGGTTTTTTTTACATTCACAAAGAACTACTGTTATATAAATGATAGAGTTATTATTTTTTTCTCGATCTTTTCATTTGATGTTTTTTTTTTCTGATAATATTTTTTTTCTCGAACCTCTAGGCGAATCCTTTATATTATATACAAACACATACACACACATATATATATATATATATATACATATATTTTCATCATTTGAATGAACAGTGAGAAGTACACCGTCTTTTTGTGAGTAGGAAAGTTTTTGTATATAGTTCTCTTTTCTTTTTGTTTTCGTTTAATTTCAACATAGATAGGCATGATTATTGTTGTACAAGTGCGTTTGCATGACGTTTGTTTGTGTGAAGGTAGACTTGAAGCTGTCATAAAAATGCTTCTACAGAATGAGTAGTAACAGCAGAAGCATGCACACCTGAATTTTTTTCTTTTTTTTCTCTCATTTTTTTTTCCGTTGAAATCAAGGACAACATTTGTATAATTTTACTCTTGTTTCTTTTTATTCAAATATGCGGATTCCTTAAGCGATATAGACATCATCTCGGTTATCTTTTGGTTTTTTCTTTGCCTCTTTGATGTTTTTCAGTAGGTTAATCACTACAAAGGTGTTTTTTATAAATATATATATATATATATATATATATAGGAAATTATAGATTTTGTTGAAGAAAAATTTCTGGACAAAAAACACATTGTTTTGTTTGGGTTTCGTCGTATTTTTGTACACATTTACTTATCTTGTAGACATATAGATACGTGTACGATTCTTCGTTTTGATTTCCTGTTCGCCCCCTTGATTTATTTGATTTTTCTCAATGTTTCTTTTACTATTATTTCTGATTTCTATTTTATCTTTTGGCTTCATTTCTCTTTTTGATGGTTCGAATAAAACAAACGCGTACTCCATTTGATTTCTTTTTTCTTCTGTGTTGTTGTGTACCGATGTAGGCATGCTAATATTATTTTTACAGATGACAGAAGCCAATAATAGATCATATGTAGGAATTGATGCTATTGTACAAACATGCTCAAAAGTTTATCCGGATCAATTAAATCCAACTCAAGCAGCAAGTGTAGTTAAATATTGGTATAGTTATTCACGATAATAAATACGATCATATGAGAGATAAGTTGATGTTTAGGCTTGGTGGATCTGAATCTTTAGATTATATATCAATTTATCATAATCAAGGAAACGACACATCACCTGCTCATTGGCACTACGTTACATTTGGCTTCACTGATCTGCATGGTGATGGTCGAGTGCATAAGTAATCTGTCATCGCCTATATTTTTTTCTGTAAATAAAGAAACAAATTGTTTTTACTCTTTTTCTAGAATTCTATCGAAAGATGAAGTGAATCCTACATCAGGTTATGGATTTGAACTAACATTTCGTTTAAGGAAGTCTGCAGAAATTGGCAATTCAGTTCAAGATATTCCATTATGGCCATGTAAACTATTGCAATATTTGGCTAAATATGTTTTTAAAACGGGTACACAATTTCATGCTGGTCATCATATACCATTTGGACATGTTTTACCCAATCTATATTCATCTTATGGTGATACACGTATACATGACTTATTAATAACGAATGATAGACAATTAAAATCTTTTCGAACTAACCTGGGTTCAGTAGAATTTTTACAGGTATAGATATGAAAAATTCTTAGCTTTTATTCTTTAGTTTTTTTTTCAATTAAAAATTAGCTTGTTGGTTGCTTTGAAAATGAACTTGAGGCAGCACAAGAATGTAATGTTGCACAAATAATTGACCTGTTCAGTACAAATCGAAGGTAATTGAAAATCAATTCTAATCGGATATGATTTTATTGTTGCTGTTAAACTTCCTTTTTTTTTTATAGAACAGGTGGTTCACTCTTAGTAACTGATATGACACGGCAAGAATCATGTTTCGATATTATACCAAATGCTAAACAAATGATTCGAGAAAAAATTGATAAAGAAGGTTCTCAACTGGGTCGAGTTCTTGCTCGATGTGCTTGGAATATTGAGTATGGAATATATAAATACTATGCAATAGATTTATATTGTTTATTTTTAGACCTGTTTCAGCGAACGATACAAGTTTTCATTCAGTATCTTCAATTGATCTCACATTTGATTTAGATGCTGCAAAAATATTTATTAAAATTCTTCGGTAAAATTTATTTATTCTATAGAAATATTTATATTAGATAAATTTGCATATACATCTATCATAAATAGAACACGATTAAGTCGTGGTAAATGGTTTATATTTGACTCGTTGAATGATCAATCGATTTGCTTTATTTCAACGGGGGCAAAAAATCAAGGAATTATGGTTAATTCAATTCAACAAATTATGGCTTTAGGTACGCGTGAAGCACAAATAATGTTGTTACCTGATCAGATTGACCTATGTATAGATCGTTTGTCACATATTTCTAATCTCAAAGTATTAATTTGATGCTATTGTTTTAATGAAAAATAAAAATCTTCTGTTTCTTTTTTTCAATTTTAGGATGAACAAACACTGCCGTTAAAATATGAAGTTCCATTTCATACAAATACAAAAATGTTTATATCAATCGTATCTTCTAAAGAATTTAGTAATGAATAATTGAATGTTTTGAAATTTATAGTGCCTTCTTTTTAATTTTTTTCTTGTGAATGTTTTTACTAACAAATTATGCCTACTGTCCATTTTATTCATTTTCTTTACCTTTTAATGTCTGATATTTAATTTTAAATAAAACTTTCTGAACGTAGAAATCGAAATGAAAGAGAATTGATGATAAACATTTTATTTCAACTAACAAAAGATAAAGATGAATGTTATTAAATTGAATAGAACAAAGATGAATCTCCTTCTGTTATTTTCCCAACGTTCCACAAGGTATGTAATGAAACGACTGAGGCCACATATATAAATAATCAGAGTCAGGTCATTCTTCTTCTTCTTCTGCTGCTGCTTTTTTGTCTCCTACAAAAGCATATATATACTTGTGACTGTTGGCAGAAGAGACATCTCGGCCTTTCTTCTTCGTCCTTTTTTCTATCTTGATAGAATGAATTAAGATGGGACAAAAGTAAAGTGAAAGAACACGCGAGAAAAATAGTTCACCGCATTAACGAGTATGTAAAAAAAAAAAAAGAAGAAAGTTAAGAAAAGTGTCACTTTTTTTTGTGTGTAAAAGTTGAACTCGAGTGCACATGCTTGTATAAAAAGAAAAGTAAGTGTGAGAAAAAAGTATCATTGTTCACATAAACTAAACAAGACACAAGGTAAGATTTATCATTGTCAGAAAAGAAACTGAAGCGGATATTCACATGTTGTTGTTGTTGTTGTTACTATTATTGATGTCATTATAATAGTGAAAATGATGATGGTAAAGTGAAATTGCTTAAGGGTGTAAAAGACCTCGACAATTTTTTTCTTTTCCCTTGATAGTGTAGATTTTCAACTACTCGATTAGAAAGCGTATCTATGCGAGTTGATGCTTCTGTCTTAAGCATTCGTCTTCTAGTATATGTTTGCTTGGATAAGTCATAGAGAAGAAAAAGAAAATGGTCGTTGAATGAGCACAACTAAGAAATGCCAATGCTGCTTCTTTATAATTCATCGAAAATCCGTCTAATTATTCTTTGTCGTTTTTTCTTGCACTCTTTTCTTGTTGCGCCATTCTATATTGGACTGCAAAAAAAAATAATAAAGAAGGAGAATGATGGCAACGACACGAGAGATTTTTCCGCTCGCTCCCTTCGTATTCCTTTCTCTTGCAGCCATTTGTTGTCCTGTTCACTCGTTCCCAGATCGAATATGACAAATAGATGCCGACGACACTAGTGACTAAGCTGATCCACATGCGACTCGACACAAAGCAATTCCGTATACGATAGCCGATTTAATACGATTTCTGTCGTCATTACTAAAAATATCTTGACACTAACATTCATAACGTCTCACAAAGTTCCGTAAGTGATCATGGCAACTGCATTCACGTACATATAAAGATGACCTTTTATATGCATATGCTTCACATGCGTTAGATCATTGCATCATAAGTGAGAGAGAAACAGAACTAAAAGGAAAAAAAAACAAGAAATGAAACTTGGGTTTTGCCCAGCAGTCGTATCATTCTTAAATTTTGTTCGAGATGCAAGACATCGTTGTCCTTCTGTCATCATTTGCTGCCAGTCAGTTAGATAAGAAATAGTTAAGAGTTTTTTTTATGATTTAAACTACGTCTCGAAAAGAGGCAGTTATCATTATAATAATCATTTTGTCTGGCCCTAATAACAGTGTGTAAGTACACATTTTTTTTTCTATTTGAGAAGCACTAATGTATGTCTTTTTCTTCTTCTACAACTGGCGCATTGAACACTACAAGAGTTCTAATCTTTTTGTGATATCGACTAATGATTTGTCGATATCTATTTGTCTATAAAATGATAAAAATGATCAGTAAACATCCTGAGGGTACTCGACTGTTCTTCTCTTTTTTCCTCTTCGTCTTCTTCTTTTTCTTCGTTTCTATATCTAACCTTGATTATTATCATCCTAACTCATTATTAATTTATGCAAATCGCATGTTTATTTGCTTGTTCGTGTATATATACGATTTATAATAATCATCATTAGAATAGGAGTAATAATAGTAGGAGTAATTTTAGTAGCAGTAGTAGTACTACTATTAGTTACAAGTTGCATCTGATCATTTTTGTCGCATACGAGAAGGATAAAAAAGCAAAATAATATGTGAGGAAAAAACCATGAACTTGTGCTTCTACAATGAATGAATTAATCATATATACAATTTTATATCCATTCATTTCACTTGCATAGTAGCGATGGTCATTTTAATGATTTTCTATGTTCCTATGCCGTCGCCGGCCTATGAATATAAATCAACCGCATGCGTTCCATACGAATCAATGTCATATGTGAGTTCCTGTTTAAGTTGATGAATGAAATATAAAGAGCAAAGAGAATATACATATTGCATCACGATTGATGAGAATACTACACTTTATGTATGTGATCCGATTGATCCATCAAACGTGTCGACAAATTCGCATACAGTTATTTGCATGCACTAGCATCATCGGTCTACCATGAAGTGTGGATTCCCTATAGGTGACTGTTGAATTTCTTCGGTTTTTTTTCAAGTTAACTGCGATATGTAATCGATCGATCTCATTGTTGTATTAAAATAGAAGAAAAGCGCCGTAGAGAAAAGAAACATAATTGAACAACAGCTGAAATTTGCTTCTACCAAACTATGAGATAGATACAGAGAGAGAGATAGGTTAGCTACTGTGCCTATTTTCTATTTGAGTCCTGCTTGCTGCTGTTACCAGATACACATACATATGTATGTCTATCAATCGTATAATACTCTTTCCTTCTCTTTCCTGTAATGTTCAGCAATCATCACACTCTATTATGTAATCGGACACAAAGTGTTTCATTATTATTTTTTTGCTTATAAAACAAATAAATAATATCTGCTTTTGTCGGTCGTAGTCTATTTTCCTTTTAATTTTCTAGACATATTTGATACAAGTTCATTATGCTTTCCAAAACGCCTTTTCCATCACTTCTGTCTTTTATAATCTTAATGATTGGATGTGTACTTTTTACTATGTCAACTCTATATACCCTACATAGAGTTCAAAATAGTGAAAAATGGTCATGTAAAAGATGGTAAATTAGAATTTTAAAAATTTCAATTATTCCATTTAATAGATGATTTTTCTTTTTTTTTTAAGTTTAAATCTTAGTCGATTAGCGATTGGATGTGGTGTTGGAATAACATTTGTTTTTGGCATATGCACAGTACTTTTAGCAAGTGTTTTAAGTGGAAAAACTCGTAAAAAATATTTTTGGGGATCTCGAAAAAATTTATGTGCAAGAATTTTAAATGGATTTGTAAATATAACAATAATAGAAAACAATTATCTTATACATTTTTTAATTGAATAATAGGTTCTATTCATAACATTTCTTTTAACAATATCATGGCTTGGCATTGCTTGTTTGACATTTATTCCTTTATATGGTCTTTTGTATATCTTTTTCGTTGTATGCAGTAATCGTTATGGTACTGCTGGCGGTAGTTTTGTCAGCAGTAAGTAATAATTATAAATATTTGATATTGTCTTCTTTTTTATGCATATTTTAGTTTTAAATGAAATAAATCAACATGCACACCGATTGGAAGAAAAGCCAGTTGCATTTAAACTTGCAGATGTTTGTCAGCCAGTAAGTCTTTACAAAAGCATTTGTTAAATCTTAAAATTTGATATCTCAGTCAATACGACTGGAAGATCAATCTGAAAAAGGCATATCTATTATTGACATTGATCTCAAGCCTGTTAAGTATCATTCGTTATTCGCAGATAAAATTTGCACGATGCCCCCTTATCATCATGTCCCTTGTGTTCATTTCCTTCAACATATTTTAATGATTGCTGTTTTTTCTGTGTGATTCTTTTTTCTTTTATATTCCTGGCTTTCATTCGCTGTCCTCAAGAAAATTTTATTTTTGATAAAGGCTTAGTTGCATTATTTTATTTATTGCTTATACCTATTTCTATAGTATTATATAGAGTGTTGCTTATCGAACCGTAAGACATTAAAAAAAAGAAGACTACAGAGATTGAAAATGATGATGAAGAAGAAAAATTGTGAATCTAATGATTTTTGCTTTTTATTTTTTTTTAGTCATATCGTGATTATTTCAGTTTAAGTATTCTTACAACAGCGTCATGTGTAGTAATCATTGTTAGTTTGGTAAGATTATAGTAATTCTTATTTTCTTATTGTTATTAATCAAATTTGTTTTCAGATCTTTTTAATGATTGCTCAAGGTGCAAATCACGCACATATATATAATGATCGAAGTCGCTATGAAGTAGCACAAAATGGAGATCAAGAAATCGAAGAAACAAAAATGTGAAAGGAAAATCACACTGTATATATATATATATATATAATATTGAGAACAGTCATTTTCTATGAAAAAGTCGGTCGATGTTGTTGGTTGTTTTTCTTTTTTTCTATTTGTTGTTGCTTGCGTATTCGTTCAAAAATCAAAACGAAAAAAAAACTTTTTCAGCCAAGCCATCTGCATTTATGACATAAGTTCTCGTTTTATTTCCTAGAGCGCAGTTCATTGTACAGTTGCATGACATCATTTTCGTTTTTCTTTTCTTACATATATAAATGTATTTCTGTTCAAATTGTGGAGGATCGAATCTTACTATTTCTTTTTGGAAAATATAGATATGTTTGTGTTTCTTTTTTTTTCTCTTTTAAATATTATTTAAAAAAATGATCTGAAAATATTACAGTTATTTATATGGGTAATGGGTAAATGATTTGTTTCCATGAAAATGATGCTTTAAAGATAGCGATGATCTATTTGAATAATTTGTTACTATATATTGTGAAGTTGCACTATAAAGTGGTATTGTACTACGAATACGACTTTGCCCAATATAGTAGTCTTCATTTGATTGTGGAGGTGAGTGGACAACCCATCGACGTGTACGAGCATCACGTTCAAGTATAGCAAAATTACAATAGTTGACTTTTTCAGCTTCATACATAAGACGTTCAGGTCGTGCACGCCGACGAAGCATACCACGTGTTAATGCTTCAATTGAACCGGCATGTCCAGAGAGTAAAATAGTTCCACCTTGATTTTTATGTGTCTTAATAATTGAATCAATAAGAAGACGTGAACGTTCATAATAATTTGATTCATTTTCTTCTGGATCAACTTCATCATATATTGGTGTATAATATGGATTTACATTGAAATATCTATCCATTGCTAAGTCAGCAGGTGGTACGAAAGAAAGAGATGCCGAAGCATACCATAATGGACATTCGAATAGGCCTGAAAAGAAAGAGATTGCCATTGAATGACAAAAACAAGGTTTCTTTTTTATCATACCAGGTTCGATATTAATTTGAACACCTCGTCGTCCTTGACTTTCTAGAATTTTATTAGCTGTTTGTATCGATCGATAAGCTGGTGATGCATAACAATAATCGATTGGATAGCCAAGTTGTAATAATTTTCGGCCAGTTGCCGAACTTTGACGTTCACCATCAATCGTTAATGGTGGATCAAAAGTCCATTCCTGTAAATCTGATCTAGGTGTTAAATATGATACTCCAGAATGATGAGCACCATTCCGTCTTACTCTACTTAACCATCTCGGTCCTAATGCTAAATCAGCACGTTCACCATGACGAGTTATTATAACTCGAATATTGTCTTCTGCAGGTGCAGATGATAAACCAAATAACTGTTTAAAAAATGACATTTTCTTTGGATTAATTTAGAGAAAAGACATAAAATAGAGAGAGAGAAAAACGTATATGTCACTTAGTAATCGATCATTTTCCCTAATATAGAAAAATACAAAAGCTATCAAGGTTTTGGGTGCTTGCAATTCACCTATTTTTCTGCACCCTGTCATAATGCATGTCAAATCAGACGCCATGTATTCAATGGAGCAAAACATCGAAGGACAGAGTAATTAACCAATAATGATCATTATTTATCATTGTGATAGTTGTTTAATGAGACTGATCTGCTTTCTTGTAATACTAAACAAGCCTCATCTATTTATTTATGTTTCATTATAGCTCAGTCATCACTAATTTTAATGACAAACACAAGAACCGGCAATCCAACGATAGTTATATAAAAAAATTTAGATGATTTATCTTCAATACAAAATATAGATAAATCTACTTTGATGACGTTGTTGCTTTTAGTTATTACGTTGTTGTTGTTTTATTTTTATGCATCTGTTCGTTAATTTGCTTCGCTAGATTATTAAATTTTGAGCATAAAATCGTTTCGCTTTGCTGTATAATAGGACGACCTTGGTCACATGCTTGCCGAAATTGCGTATCAATAGGCAATGATTCAAGAATATTTAAATGAAATTCATTGGATAATAATTGAGCACCATTTTCACCAAAAATTTTTTCTTCGTGCCCACATTTTTGACAAAAATACGTTGAAAAATTTTCTACAATACCAAGTATTGGTACATTAACAAGACGAAACATTTCGATTGCTTTTCTTACATCAATTAATGCAAGTTCTTGTGGCGTTGTTACCATAATGACACCAGATAATGGAACTAATTGAGCAATAGATAATTGTATATCACCCGTACCTGGAGGTAAATCAATAATTAAATAATCTAGTGGAGACCAAGCAACTTGTCGAAGAAGTTTTTCAATAGCTTGCATCACCATAAGACCACGCCATACAATAGCACCATCAGATTTAGTTAAGAATGCTATAGACATACATTTCAAATTGAAATTTATCAATGGTTCTATAAGATTTGTTGTTGTTGTTGTTGTTGCTTTATGATTACGTAGATTGAGTAGTGTTGGTAGAGACGGACCAAAAATATCAGCATCCAAAATTCCAACTTGATTGTTCAAACGAGATAATGCAAGTGCTAAATTGACACTTACAGATGATTTACCAACGCCACCTGAAAGAAAAAAAAATCAAGAATACACCTTAGAGAGACGTCAATCAAAGAATAGTTAGTGTCAATAGAAATACTCTAGAGTAAGTGGCTAACATTTCGTTAGCTATAACTTTGAGAAAACGCCGCTTTCAAAATGTATCTATTTTGAAGCAACGTGATTGCTACATGCTTCATTGGTTATTTATTTCATTACGTAATTCATACACTGAGTCAGTGTTTACCTAAGTTCGATTGCAGTACTGTATGTTTGTCGTTATCTAAATTTTCTTTTCATAACTTTATGATTACATACGTCGTTTGTTACTCTTTTTTGTAAGAATAGATTCGCTACTGTAATTTGTTTTTATTTTTCGATTGGAATATTTTCTTAAAAGTTTTCAAAAGCTACCGTCAATATTTAATCCGTCTTATTTTTATATTTTATTGCTGATGGATAATATTTGATGGTTCAAATAGAAAATTTATCATAAGATAATATTCAAAATCGATTCATATTGTTAAACTGATTGTTTTACCAATTGTTGAAACATTTTTTAATCATCAGCTGTTCATCTCAAGTAGTTCTTGTTCGAAAACTATATATTTAACCTAATCGTTGATCATCTAAAATCTTGTTTTTTTCCAAGTTAGATGATTAGTTTTATCATCATTTAATAATACTTAGGGCAAATATGTGCTGGTAGCATGAATGCTCGTGAGTATCTTTTGAATAACGTTTAATAACAACAAGATACAGAACTCCAATTTTGCATTATTGGAAAGATGAGATGAAGGCGCATCGAACTCTAGATCACTGATTTTTCTAACCTGTTTTTGGTAAGGTTTTCAGTTGACCTTTTCAAGAAGAAACCTATCTCGTGAGTTGTTTACAGTGAATTTTCAATAATCAGGGTCACATTCAAACCACTAATCGAAGATCTACAAACTGCGAAACACTCAGGTGTTAAATTTAATTATTTGGGGATAATACGTATTCTAGACGAACCTCTATTGCGATTTTTTATCAACTTTTTTGTTTTTGCTTTTTTTATGAAAAAAGCATTTTTCCGAAGGTTAGAAAGTTGAGTAAAAACAGTTAAAAAATCCTATACGAAAAATCAGTGATCTACAGTTCGATGCGCCTTCATCTCATCTTTCCAATAGTACAAAATTGGAGTTCTGTATCTTGTTGTTATTAAACATTAGCCAAAAGGTACTCGCGAGCATTCATGCTACCAGCACATATGCGAAAGAAACAGATCTTATCGAAATTTTACTATTATGACATTAGCTGAATAGTGATTGAATCGCATAGAAAAAATAGAGTGAAACACGCTCGATCTATTGGTAAAAAAAAGAAACCTTTTTCGACCTCTGCTTGAGGAAATAAGGTACCCCACTCACTACTTTTGGATTGCCCTAAGTTTCTGACTAATGTTTGAGGAATGATTTTTATAATTAATAAATATAAACATTCATTCATATAAAATTACCTCATTGGATAAATCAAATAAATTGCATATACCTTTGCCTGAGCCAACTGCAATAATATGTCGAACACCTTCAATTGGTGCTCGTTTTGGTAAACCACGTGCCATCATAGCTTGTTGGTGTGGTGTTGACGTTGTTGAATGGCAACGTCGAAAAAGATGTAGAAAAGTATTCAATCGAATAGTCATCGTTTCAAAAATCTAAAAGAAGGAAAACACATCTAAGCAAACTAACAAATAATGGACTTAATTGTCATTTATTTCGTTCTTTTATCTAATAAACGTTTAAATAAATCATTCACTAAATCATCATGTATACGACCATGATGTTTCTTACAAATATTTGAATGTAATTGTTCAAGTACTTTCTTTGGATTGGTTTTATACCGATCGATTTGTTTGGGATTTTCTTCAAGAATTTTTAAACAAAGTTTTTCTAATTCATTTTCATCATTTATGGCATACATATTATGTTCATCAAGAAATGATTTTAATGTTCGAGTTGAATCCCGATTTTTATTACATAATGTTAATAACGTATAAAGAGAAAAACGTGTTATTATACGTTTTTCTAAATTTTTTATTATATCAGCAAATAATGTTGATGATACAGCTTGGGCAAATTTACGAATTTTACGTCCATCATATGATATAGATTTAACGTCACTTAATAGAACTTCTAATGCAATATGACCAAGATGATTATTGTCAAGTTGAATCATAACATCACGAAAATAATCCTACATAGAAAACAAAAATTAGAAAGAAAGAAAAAAAGATGCCACAGAGTAATTTCAATTCGCATAATTTATGGTCCCATCAATTTTTTTATTTGGAAAGCTTTACATATCAAAATTATTTCTCAAATTTAAATGAAATGAATGACAACATAACATCCTCTTTTTCTATTATTTATTTTTTTGTCAAAATATTATTTCTCTGGAGTATTGCAGATACGAAAAATTAAATATATTTAAAATACTCCATCAAAGATATTAATACATCTGATCTTGCAATTCTAACTATATTAAATTATGAAATACTGAAAATTCAACAATACAGTGATTGATCGGAGTATTTCTTTACAAATTTATCATATATACTATGATGTAAAAGTCAAGATGTACTTCAGATGTGTGAAAAATTCGAAAATTGTCTTGCCGTAGTGATAATCTATTGAGAAATTTATAACAGCATATCACGTTTCCATAATTAGAGCAATACATAAAATTAATTGTATTACATAGCTGTTAACTTTACAGGAATGTTTTGAAAACGAAATCAAACGTCAAAAGTAATATTGAAAAGCAATGTTCAAGATAAATGTTCTTAGATTGAATCACCAATCCATTGAATTCAATGAGTCTATCAAAAGCAAAGATGGGATTCGTATTTCGATTGAACATTTGAATACTCTGCGCGTCAAGTAGAACACGAATGCTTTTATGATTTTTGTAGGCTCAATTGAAATCTATTCTGTAGTCAAAACATAACATCTAACGGTCTGATTCTCAAGTTATTTCGAAATGAAATTGTTAAAGCGAATAGAAATGATGTGTTCATCATTGAGATACTTCAAAAACCCTATATATTCTCTATGATATGAAAAAACTTTTTAAATTAATGAATATTCAAAATTTTTTTTTTAAATAAGGAGATATGCAGTACTGTTTTCTTCTTCTTAGACTATACCTTGACTGAGAACACTTCTCTTATAATTATACGTGCCAATTCAGAGACTATTTCATGTATTTTCCTTCATCATCTTGAAGTAATTCAATATAAAAACTTACAATCATATCAAGTCGAAGTAATTCATGTAAATGTTCAACTGTTAAAAAATCTTTATATTTATCTAAATATTGTTTTCGTTCATCTAAGGGTGACATTGGTAAACTTCTTTTAATATGATCGATGTTAACGAAATCTTTTCGATTAATATTTTTATCATTGTCATCATATAAAAATAACGGTGGTAAATTGGGTTCAATCATAAAACGATAATCAATTTGATCTTCTTTACGTCTTAAATGTACTGTTTGATGTTTATTTGTATCGTATGTTCGTGTTTCTTTTTGAATAGGATAATTATTTGTTAATAATTGTTCTTGCCGTTTTATTTCAAAATCAATTGCTTGTCGAACATCAATAAAACTTCCAAGATTTTTTACTTCAACACGACTACCATCTGGCATTGTATCTTTACGATGCAAACTAACATTAGCATCCACACGTAAAGCTGTTTCAAGACCACTTTGTTCGCATATATTATATTTTATTAAAAGACGATTTAATTCACGTAAAAAGGATTCACCTTCAAGACTTGATTGTATATCAGGTCTAGTAACGATTTCGACAAGACCCGTACCAAAACGATTCAAGTCAATCAATGTACGATTTTGATATTCATCATGAATACTTCGACCAGTATCATGTTCAAGTTGAATGCGTTCTATACGGCATTGTTTGATAACGAATGAATTTGGATTATCAACAAACTAAACAAACCAAACAATAGGAATATTCTTTTTTTTTTTAATTAATTGATTTATTTTCAAGTACTTTATGTTTTGTTGATGCTTTTAGTTTATCTCTTTTAACTAATAATGGATAATGAAAGAGACCATCCGAAGCAAATGGATATCGTTGTTGAGTTATTTGATAGCCAGATGGTGAATCAGGATAAAAGTAATGTTTACGTTCAAAATGAGAGATTTTATTTATTTGACAATTAAGACCTACAGCTGCACGTACGCCAGCTTCGAGACAAGCACGATTCAAATATGGCAATGAACCTGGTAAAGCCATATCAAATGATGTTACTTGACTATTCGTTGTTTGAGCTGGAGCTGCTGATGAAGCTGAAAACATTTTTGAATTCGTTGCAAGTTTAACGTGAATTTCAAAGCCAATTAATGCATAGAAACGACCACTTGATAGAATAGCAGCAGCAGCAGTAGCTGCCATATTTGAAAATATAGCACAAACACTTGGAAAAAAATCAAGAAAATGAATAAGTAGAATTTTTTAGAACTCTACAGATATTCAGTAGTATATCATCAGCTGAATGTGAAATAGTGATTGGTTGTTTCGAGATTGATTGTAGAAACAAATCGAAGTCTTCTGAGAGATGGCAGACTAATCTTTTAAATCTATATATAAAAATTTACTTATTAAAAATATAGTATTACCTATTTTACATGTAGATTCATCAAAAATTTTCAAATATGTTCATTTTGATCGACATTGCATTTTTGTCAATAAGTAATACAGCAGATTGCGAATTCTGTAGCTGATATCTTGCATTCATTATTTTGTTCTATGCTGTTTGATGGACCAATTATCAATCGGCGAATTATTCAAGCCTACTTTTCTCTATCAATGTTCTAAAGATAAGTGTCCGACGATATTTTCCTACATTCCAGTTTTTATATGTTTGCATCAGAGACCGAAACCGATGACAAAAGTGCCATTCGATTCGGTTCGGCTTTTTAGAACTGTGATTCGATTCGATTCGGATTTTTCGGTCTTTTTAAAATTGTAATTCGATTCGATTCGGGTTTTCTGGTCTTTTTAAAATTGTAATTCGATTCGATTCGGCTAAAAATACGAAAAAAATCAATTCGATTCGATTCGATTCGACTCAAATTGGGTTTACAAAATATGGTATTCAGTATTGCATAGTATTTTTGTTTTCAGACTGTCATCTTAGAATGAGAATAGTCTGTCGATCTTCTATAGAAATATGTTGAATAAATATAATTTATGAAGATATACATAAGAATTATTCATTTTTTTCAAGAAAGAACATAATATATAAATTAATGAACACATCTAAGTAGACTAATTAAATAATTTTATTTTCTAATAGAACGAAGAAAAATAATATCATTTACTGTATATGGATCTATATTTACAGTTGACCATAGCCATACTTAATAAATGAAGAGGTTGATATCAAGACCCCAATCTCACTGGAAATGTGAATAAAGTTAAAGTCTTATTCAGTAATCTAATTGTTACATTAAGAGTTAAAATCACCTCTAAAGTATTATTTAACTCTTAATGCACCAGTCACATGGCTTAATTCAACTATACTGTTAATTTACTTATCAGTGTGATTGGGGCCTAAATTGACTAACGAAAAAAGAAAGAAAGATGGAACGCTCGTTGTAAGTGAGCATTTCTTATGCCAATCAAAATGCACTTGACCATGATAACGATATGAACAGAACAGGGATGACCATTAAATAAGCACGACTGACAGAAACAAAGAAAGAGAAACAGTGGACGTCCTTTTTCATGCGTCATCTCTTATACTAGTCAACTGCTCTCGACCATAACACCAGAACAAAGAAAATGATTTTCAATAGCCGAATGAAACTGAAGAAAAACGAATCGATTCGATTCGGCTTTTTTTCAATTTTTTTTATTCATTCGATTCGATTCGGTAGTTTTGAAGTTCCGTTCGGAATCGATTCGATTCGTCTGGGGCGAATCGAATCGAATCGAATCGAATTATTCGGCAATTCGATTCGATTTCGGTCTCTGGTTTGCATGGATTAAAGCATTTCAACAAGCTATCGAAGGATTGCCTTATCTCGAAAAGATTTTCTGTTCGAATTATGAAGAAACGTCGTTTTCTGTATTTAAATTGTCATGGATCAATTTGTGATATGAAAGAAACATCTAGTTGATATGATAGTTTTAGGTTATTGAAAATATTAAACACCGAAACTTCGTTGCAAGTACCAATCGATTTCAGAAAATATCAGTGCAGTTAAGACAATTTATTTTTCTAATGTAAAATATTATCGCATGAACAACATTTTCAAATCTTCATCGATTCAGTAACTTTACATACGAAATAATCATGAGTAGCAGCATTTTAGATGCTTTAGATCAATATCAATATTGCAAAAATGCTATGCTTAATCCTATACGTTTTTTTTTCTTATTGTAGGTCATATACGAATACTACTCGAAATAATCAACATCAAATAATTTTAATATCATTTGATGATTTTGAATGTTAAGCAAATATAGAAATAAGGATGTAGAAAGTTGATGAAAGTCTTCATCAGATATACTATACTCTCAGCTGTGATAATTGGTTTACACAGGAAAGTTCTCTTGAAACAAAACAGTAATCAGGATGTAGAACACGTTATTTTGGTTAATTGCTAATATTTTCATTAAACAAAAATTAGAAAATTTCGAAAGGAAATGCGAGTGTTAGCTTTTTATAAGTTGTTCTTTAGCTAGTCTTTCTTGCGTCACTTTCTTAAAGCTAATTATTTTGTGATGAAGAGTGATAAATTACGAAACTTGGATATATTTATATACATAGTCTTTGAAACAGACTTTTATTTAATACCCGTTTAGTCAGATACCCGACATAATATACAGATTTTTGAATTGTAGTTTTGTGTTCAAATACTTACTTAGACAAACACGGGACCATATTAACACACAACAATGTGCGTATTTTATACTAGAAGAACGATAAAAATAAAGAATTTGTTATTTTTGTAAAATATTGGTTTACGCAGCTCATCGGCATCCTAACAAATATATTGACAAAGAATTTTTTCGTCGATTTTACAGATTCCAAAAACAAATTGTATCAAGATTTTTGAACATCCCAGACAGTGACAGTCCACAATTAAATATTAAATCTAAGTTAGACTTTGAATATTTCGTATGTCCAGGTATCTCAGTAGGACACCTTTGACACCACTAAAATAGATAAATATATATGTAGTGAATAGGTAACAACACAATCAACGATTGAAAAATTCCTTTTGCTGAAACGGCATATTTAGCAAAAGATTTAATTTATTCCAAACTTATTTTTTGCAAATTTTTGAAGATAGTACAACTTGAAACCCAAATTTTTAACCATTCTAAAGTTTAGAACAATACGATAAACTGTATAAATATCATGATAAAAGTGTGCATATTTTACGTTTTATTAAAAACATCAATCTGTCGTATTGAATAACCTTTTATTCTATTCATAATATCCTTTAGAGAGATGCATTTTTCTTAAATATAATTTGCTGTGTGGGTATGATTTATTTAATGAAATATAAAATTCAAGTGGAAAAATAAACAACATCCTGACTAGATACGAAAATTTGAACGGGCGAAGCACAAATTAACGTAAAAAAGGGTTTTTACACAGTAAAACCCAAATAATTTTGTATTCCTGCACTCTAGACGTCTTCATTTTCATTAACTCTATTAACTAGTAGTACTTTTGAGTTCAAGACTTCACGTTGACTTCGTCGCCACTATAAAAATAGAAAATATAAATACAACAGTCAAACACTATCACCAAGAAAATAAAATCATACTTGAAAAAATATATACAAGGAAGTTAACGTAACAAGTAAAAGACTAAGCGATGGTAAAATAAATTTTATATAAGACGCAACATCCAATGATACTAATATTATTGATAATAAACGATGAATTTTTGGTGTCAGCCTGGCTTCATCATCAAACCATACAATTGGCATTATAATTGGCTTGACTGATTTTAATAAACTACACAAACGAATCTTTCAAAATGATCTTTCAAACAAAAATTTAAAACAAAACATCTACGAACTGAAGTTTTTTTATATTTGGCATATAAAAACTCAATTGTAATCGAACATTAACATCAAAGGGAACACTAGTTACCTGTAGAAAATCAAAAACAGATAAAAAGTGGTTTCAAATACAAATCATTTTAGGTCTAAATACCGGATCAAAACTCATGATGAATGCATGTTTATTTTTATTTGGTTGCATGCCATGAACATCTTGTCGGAATTTTTCATCTGCTTGAAAAAAATGAGGTGAAGAAATGAAACCCCATACTCCTATGATGAAAAAAAAGAAAAGTTATTTTTCAATAGCCAAGTATTTTCCTTTACCTAAGTAGCAAGTACTAATATTCAATACACCATCGCCTAAACAAGGGCCATGACCACAAAAACCACGATTTTCTTCTCGAGACATGTTAAATACATCGGCAGACAAATGGTAATCGTATAAGGTAACATAACCATCTTTTCTTTCTCGTAAAAATGATAAATAATATGAGCTAATCAAAAAGTATTCGTTTTTAATTTTTTCGACAAGAAGATTTTCCGACGTAACTCACCGACACATATCAGCACTATATGAATAAACCTTTTTATCCTTTTTTAAATTTGGTGGAAATAAAGATCCATCTGAAGTTAATTGTTATTTTTTCACAAGAAGAAAGACATGAAATTTTTAATACACAAAAATATTTACCTGTTCCATTCAGCATATTTGCTTGAGGTGTAGACCAATAATTTAACGTACTAAATATTACAAAAACAAAACACATTCAGATTTAGTTATTTGCAGGTTTTAAACAAATTTTACCTAACACCATTGAATGTAATAATTTTTGCTACTTGAGTTATATCATTAATTCCAGTCTGAATAGTAAAATTTTGATAATAGGAAGTATTTCTCTAAATAAATGATTGATAAACTTTAATAATACTGAAAAAAATATATGAATTTAAATTACAGCTTGTAATATTCCAAATTTATCGTCTTTTAATACACCAGGTTTCACTTTACTAGCTGTTTCAATTAATGGATCTGTATAACCTAATCAATTGAAATAAAAATTCAATTTTTGGAGAAAAAGATTAACGAGTTTTTTTTTCATTAAATTTTACCTTCCATTAATTGTTTTACGGTAACATTAACAAATAGTTGTGTTTCTAGTAGTTCAATAAAAAAATTAATACCTTCTTGCATCTCTTTACTATAAAATTGCACTTCATAAGCCATAGCCTGTTAAAAAGTAGAACTATCTAACAATTGTAAACTACGGGAGACTTTACCATTAATGGTACATTGATAACAGAGACATATTCATCATCGGGACCAATTGATTGATTTCGATCAAAATAAAGTGTCGTACTTGGAATGTAAGAAAGTCTGTCGAAACCATCACTATAAGTAATACTTGATCGATTCCATTCTTCTCTAAAAGAATACTTTTATTTGAGTATTTTTTATTAGTAAATTAATATATGTATATATGCTATACCGATAAACATAGGGTCCACGTTCAACTAACTCTGGTATGGCACCATTTTGTACTGCAATAGGGTTGGTACAATGCCATATATACATTTTTCGATGTATAGTAGCTGGTGGATTTTGCCAAAATCTACGGCCTTCTCGATTTTGAACAATAGCCATTTTCTAGAAAATATGTCCTGTTTTTTATTCATTGGCGGAAAAAAGACGATAGAACGAACGTGTGCAAGTATATTATTCACTAATGGATCAAGTAGGACCAGTAAAATAATTCCCAAAATTAAACCCAGAAAACTAAGTATAAAACAAACTGAACATTTGTAATTTGTTCGGAACGGCTTGAATGGCGACATTTCAGATAGCGTGTCTGGTAAACCGTTGTGTGCTAGAATATAAACGAAAGTAAAAGTTTCTTATCTTATGGGACTATTCGTGTGACGCAATAGATACAGCTCTCTTGTCCTTGTATATGATAGATTGTGCTTGTCGAAATCGTACTTGCGTAAATCCTTTATCATCGATTTCAAATGATTATATGAAAAGACAAAATAACATTAGCGATAATACGAATGAAAGGAGAATCCTAATAGTGATCGAACATGAAAATGCATTCAGTTGAAATACCCACGAATGACTCAGTAACAACATAACTATTATATAACTGTCACATGTCAGAATACTGTAAGATGTTAATTATAGAGACAAAAAATCACGATAGAACGAAAGCAAAGAAGTACTGTATTCGCAATTATATTAAAAAACAAAAAAATGAATTCGCTTACATTTCTGACCATCATCATCTTCATGGAATTGTAAACTTGTAATTCCACCTTTTTCTTTGAAAATATCATGTGATGGATATACGCTTTCAATAAGTCTTCTTTTACTTTCCGTTCTTTCGTTATCGCCAACATCGGTCATATTGATAATAGATAAGAAGAGTGGTGTTTGTTTTTTTAAATAAAATAAAAAATTATATCAAGAATCGATTTGTTGTTTTTCAACAAAGTAGATGTGTATCAATTAGATCTACAAAATATGAATCATAGAAAATGAATGAATTGCAAGATTCTTTTTTTGTTCTTCGTTTCTTTTTTTTCGTTCTATACCAAGTACTTTGGAGAAACTTAAAAAAACATCGCCTTTATGTTTTAAGGTTATGTAAAATACTGCTTATATAATCATCAAAATATGCTTACAACAGAAATAATATGCTTCTTGAGTAATGCGATAATATGCTGACTATGGAGTTATGTAATGAAAATAGTTATATTGAATATTTTGTCTGCCTAAATATACAATGAAATCCTACATATTTTATTTCTATTAAAAACATAGAAATAAGTAAGAAAACACTGGACAATATCTCATATTTATGTTCGTCAGTTTAAAAGAAGATTAGAAGAAGCGACGTGTCAGAGGAGCATACGCTTCGATCACGATACTGAAAGAAACTAGCACGAAGGTTGGGATGCAAAAGTAGAGGAATATAAACGGTGAAATTCAACCAAGAAAAAAGAACTATCAGTTTACTACTGTGACATAACGGATTATTTAGTATTATCAGTCATACATTTGTTTTCTATAAAAACACATTTGATACTTATTCGAATGATTTACTGTCAGGTATAGTGTTGTAACTGTATAATTAATGAACATGAAATACTGAATTATCTTTTGTTCTTTAGATTGAAATATCATTTATCATCTAACATGAATTTATCGATGTCATTGACAGATTGATTTTGATCAAACTATTTAAAAAAATAAAAAAACAAAGTGAAGATACCTTTTCACTTTTTGAAGCACACATAACACTCGGATTTAAATCCGAGGTTTTCGCATTTATTCTATAAGACATATATCTCATCAAGATACATCCATTGTCACTAAATTGCAAGGAGATAATACAGGCGTGCTAAGTTAGAATGAACCACACTGTATGCGACCCTATCCGGTGACCACTGACTCTACTCTCAGAGTGATATAATATCATTAGAAATTACAGAAATTGAGTTCAGATTCGCGTCTAGGTTGGAAGACCGGGTATGACGAGTTACTTTTGAATGGATTTGCGTTTGTATCTAGCGGGATTACGATCGTAAGCAACCTCATGAATCTATAAGAGATATATGATAGATACACCCATCAGTATTTTCCTAATAAATCACCAATATTAATAGCTGTCGAGTTCGGGTTTTTACTTTTCGATAACCTTTTTGCCTAGCTACAAAATCAGGCATTTGGAAAACCCCAAAACTACTGGTCATCAGAGACATATCTAGACAATTTGGTTTCTGGACGCAGTTTTTATGCATTTTGAGATCTCTTTCAGGCAGTGTTTCGTTAGAAAGCTACGATTTGATTCAAAATTAATATCAGATTCAAAATCAGTATTAAAAACTGAGTCGATTTATATATGTTGTGAATAATTCTGAGAAAAAATCCCTGTACCTCCCCCCCCCTCAGGGATGTCTGGCCAATAATGACAATTTTTTCGATAACTCAGCGATTTCTTCACGGATCCTTCTCATCTTCGATGTCGACTGAGATATTGATGAGATCATTCTGCGTACAAAATTTCATGCCAATTGAATGAGGTTTTCAAAAGTTATCGTGTTAACGGACTGACGGACACGCTGACCGAATCTAGAGTGTACTCACTATTTGAGTACACAAAAGACAAATAGATACCGAGCCTGTTCAACATTTGAAAAAAACTAAAATTCATCATCTATAAGAACTTGATGAGCGCTATTTGCGTGTTCTATAACGAGCATGAAAGCATGTGAGAAGTTTTTCCCTCATTCACTGCAACTCTAAGTATGGTTGATTATTCGCCCAACTTAAGCACAATAAACTAAGAAAGATTTCTAATTGTTTTTGTCGAAAATGAAGTGTTCATCATCATCATTCGACTGCAAATAACCTGGGTTTGCAGGCGACAACAATCTTACGCCATTCTTCCCTATTGACAGCAGTCTTCCGGATTTCTTCGATGGTTGGTGGTGTGTCGTTGTTGATCAGTCTTGCGACGTAATCAGGATAGTTTAAGCGTGGGCGACCTCCGCACGTTGTAGGTGGATATTGTGATGGCCTTGTGATGAATTTTTGTATTTTTTGTGTTTTTATTTTTGTTTGTGTTTGTTCGGGTCGTCGATGCTTTCTCAAAGACAGGTGCCTGCCTTATCATAGGCTCGGATTTTTGTGAAATCCTCGCATGCATACGACGAGACGAAAGACTGTTGCCCGGAATGGGTTCTTCGATTATTGTTTTCGGAGTCATTGTGAAGGTCATCTCGGGTGACTAACCCTGAGATGCTTACCAGAGCCCATCTTGGCCGTCGTAAAACGACGTTTCCATCCGACACTGCGAGGAAGTGAAGGGTTGGGTTTTGTCGGACAATGAAGTGTTATCAAACAAAATATCTTGAGAAGTATCAATTTTATAGTTAAACCAATCCAAATGTGTTATCTGTCTGTAACTTCAGTAAAAAGTCAACGTGACTTTCTAATCAACTCTAAAAAGCTGTTGAGTTATCCACAAATCTAACACCGGTATCATTTTTAGAGAAAATATTTCATTGTGTAGCTATCTATTATGCCAATGCAATAAATCAATGAAATAACTACAAGAAAATTATTATTACATAATATAAAATAGATCTAATGTTTTTCATTTGAAAATCAATTAAAGCAGATATGGAATAATCAGAAATGGAATTCTCTATATAGAACCAGAGTCAGAGTTTTCTCAAGCGATTAATATTGTAGAGTTCAGTGAACTGTATCAAATGAAACATATTAAGCACAACTCACTCAGTTTAACTATTTAATATCATGAAGTGAACTTGACAATTACAAAGACTATCCTTCTAATAGAGTCACAAGTGAATGTATGCGTATTTCTTAAGTAATAATGATTAATTTTCTTGCCCGAGGAAATACACACCACTATTTTATTCGGTATGAAATCTCAAGGACAAGAATATTTCAAAGACCTTATTTGCACACCAGGGGTTTGTGATTATTGTACGGTATACAAGATTTCTATATTCTAAAAACATAGGCTGACTACCTTCCAGGGTTGAAAATTATTGCTCCAAAAGACAAAATCTGAATAAAACACCCTCCCAATTAAATCTTGAGAATACATACGAACTTTTAGATCCTTCGACTTTTCTAAAGGATATAATTGCAATTTTACTCTTCAATGGTAGTAGTAGAAAAACATGAAAATCAAAAAATGTTCGTCCTAGTGAAATCTTGTATTAATAATTTAGTTCTATAGAATAGTGTTTTTGTTGGAATAGATTCACATATCTAATTGTTTTTCGAAAATTACATTCTTCATCTTTTTCTATTCCATCATGTACCTTTCAATAAACATGATATTAATTCTCAATCTTGCAAATACAATTATTTTTATCTTTTCATTTAATATTCTTCTCATTTCTCTTAAAACATGTGTTTAATTCAATAGCTGAAACGATTGCTGAGGAAATACGAAGTTCAACTTGCACGTAGGCTGTTTTTGCTCTCTTGAGTCAAACGTTCAATCAATCTGAATGATCAATTCATAAATAAGATAGTGAATATATATATATATATAAGATAGGAAGTAGAACAAGACTAAGACATGAAAACTATGAACATAGATGACACACACATAAAACTCATACAAGTGAATAGAAGAAGAAAAGGACAAAGTTTAGAACGTCGACATAGATGGATTGTAGATCAATGACATTTAGAAGTATTTGTTTCCTATCTATCGACGATAAGATGATGGTGATTGAAAGAGACGAAATAAATGTCGCTGTGGTGGTGATGAAACAAATGAATCTAAAAAAGAAAGATATGTTGATTATTTTTCTCATTTATATAATTCTAACTCTTTTCTTACTCGGTGGTAATTGATTGAATGATTGAGCATATTGTTGATCAGCAACAGTTGAATCTTGATCGTATGGTGATGCATGTATATTATTTGACATTAAACGTTGTTTATGTTTTAAACGACGGCTTCCTTTAATCGTGGATGATGGTGAAAACATTGGATAAGTCGTTGGTGTTTCTTGATACGTATTATATCTTTTAGTAACAAAAGTTATAAATACCAATAAAAATTATTATTTTTTTAATAGTATTTCTTACCTTAAATCATTTGATGGTATACGTGGATAATAATCTTGATAACGATAATCACTAGAAATAAATGGATGAGTTGGTATTGTTTCTGATTGAGTATTCTGATTTATTTTATACCTCGTTGGACGTATGAATGATGGACTTTCTACTCGATCGCACACTTTAGTTTCTTGATTCCAATGTAAACCAGGTGCACATGGTCGAACATGAAGTAAATCACCATCACATTGTAGAAAAGCACGAGAATTAAATGCAAATGGATAAAATCGTTCTTGATTATTAAATACACCCATACATGGATTTGGTACAGTATCTAAATGTAAAAAAAAGGAAAAATGTGTTTGTTGCTTTTTAAGTTGCAAAAATGAATTTAATAGACGTACTATGTGTACAAGTTAAACCATAAGATTGTTGTTTGTCACAAATGCAAATATAATCTTGTTTATAATCACTTGTTACTAATGTGTGACATTGATTACCTTCACCACATGGATTAGATGCACATGATGATACGGGTATTTCACAACGTTCACCTGTCCATAGTCCCTGGCATGTACATGTAAATGTTGTTGGACTTGTTGAATGACATTCACCATTATTCATACATGGTTGTTCTTGTTCACAAATTGATTTAATGTTGATTTTTTCACATTTATCATCATCTGCATTATAAATAAAACTTGTCGGACAGTTCATTATTTCATATTTATTTTCATTTAAACATGAAATATATTTTGTTGGATCTGTTGGATGTCGAACATTGACATTTATAGATTTACCAATACAAGGTGAGGCTAAAATTAATTTATTTTAAATTAAAAAAAAACGCACATAAATAGTTCAATGATAGCATACCACCGTCGTTTTCTACAGAAAGTAATGTATTTTCATCGTCATCTGAAACGACTTGACGTTTTTTACGACTATTATCTTGCTCATCACTGTCATTATCAGATTTTGAGTTATCATTCCTATGAAAAGAGAAATAAAGAAAGATAATTTTACTTTTCAAGGAACAAAACTAATTTACGAACTTGTTATTCGGTGATGCTTTTGACGTATTGGAATCATCTTCATCTTTATCTTCATCTTCATCTTCATCTTCATCTTCATTGGAACTATAAAGGGTTAAAATAAAATAGAATCAATTAAAAATATCATAGAACTTACGAATTTGGTTTTTCATCCTCATCTTCATCATTATCATCGTTATTGTTAGTAGAGCCCTGTTTCTTACTACTTTGACTGATATGAGTAAGACAAAATTGCAGTAAGAAATGAAATACTTTTCGATTCGATAAAGTTACTTACGATCCTTTTATTTTACCATAAATACCAATAGGTGGAAATTGTCCAGGAAAGCCACCATACAAGTTTGTAGCCCATGAGGAACCACCAGGAGCACCGTGCAGAGGAGGAAAACCAATATTGCCGCTAAAAAAATAAGATCATCCGTAGTTTTTGCTAGAATTGTTTTATATCATCTTGTAGAATTAAAATAATTAATATGCACTTTACTAATGAAGCATTTTATTTAGACCATAAACTTACTTATAATGTAATCTGTCCATCAATTCTGATGTACTAAAAATTATTTCGGGTCCTTTGGCAGACACTGATTGTCCGCCAGTCGATGATCCATCGGAAGATACTTGAGGTTGATCGAAAGGTCCAAATGATGAATCACTGAAAATAGGTGGTGGGCCAGGAACTATGAAGAAATGAAATAAAAAATAAGATGAGAAACCATTAAGAAGATAAGTTACTGAATGTAGCTGGTATTTTCATAGGAAGAGGTGGAAGCAATGGTCCACCAAGTGGTATTGGAAGAGATGGAAGAATGGGAGGTATGAATGGTGGTAGCTTTGGTGTTTGAGGTGGTTGCCATATTGGTGGATATATTGACGGATACATTATCTGTTGTGGAAACGTTGGCTGAGGCATTACTGGTGATCGAACCATTGGATAATTCATTGGTGATGATGGCCACATGTATGGTGAATAATAATTTGGCATGACTGGCGGCGATACAATTGGCTTATTCAGTGGTGGTAATCGTGTATAAATTGGTGGAGGCATTGGTGGTGGTAGTGGTGGTGATAAAACTTGTTGAGGTACTGTTTGTTGGAGTGGTGGCGAAAAAATCGATCGTGACATATCGTGCGACAACGTTGGGTACCTATTAAAATTATAGGACAGAAATGTATGCATATGTACATATATTATGTTGTATAGTGTAGGACATACTGTATTGGTCCGAATGGATAAATCATTGTAGGAGCAGATTGTGGACTAAATTGAGTAAGTATATAGGTATAGATATATTTAAATAAACGAATTATAAATAGCATACGCAGCTGGTGGTGAGGCATAAGGACCTGCAATTCCGATTGGACCTGAGAAACCTGGTAATGGAGTATAACCTGGAGCCGGTGGGCCTAATTAAAAAAATACAAGTTGAAGATAAAATCTGATGTGACAAACGAGCACAAAACAAATTACTTACCTAAGGGTACGTTTAATCTCTTGAAATTTGGAAATGGATTATTTTCTTTTGCTATTTTTTTTAGTTGATTAAGTGAACGTTTTTCTCGTCGAGATGAATGATATGATGGACTCTTAGGATTGTTGTTACTGTTAGACAAATCATCAGAATTATTATCATCAACTGGATCGGGAACTGTCGACCAATCACAAACATTTATGAGTGCATTCCAAACAAGATCACCCGGGCATGGTTTAACAAACATGAGTCCAAATGCACATTGAATGTAACATTGTGGATAACCAGGTATTGGATAAAGTTGTGGACCATTTATTGTGCATGGATTTTTTGTTTGTGCTTAAATAGAAAGTAGGAGAAACTCATTACAAATTTCAATGATTCAAATTATCTTACGTGGCCCACATTTAGATAGATCAAGTTTTTCTGGATAATAGTAAAGATATTCGACAGTTGATTGAAGGCCATAAGGTATACCAGTTTGTTCAAATCGGCCAGAAGCAACGTAACTGTTACTTGATGATATTTGACCAGTATTTCTGCTATTGTTAATATTTGATGATGCAGCCACACCAGCAGCATTACTATTGCTACCGAATGATGATAATATACCAGCAGTATTCTTGATGCGACCAGATGATGAGGAGACACCAGCAGCATTATTGTTGCTACCAAACGATGAAGAGATACCAGCAACATTACCGGACGATGATGAGACACCAGCGACATTACCGGACGATGATAAGACACCAGCGACATTATTGTTATTACCATAAGATGATGTGCCAGCAACATTATTATTGCTACCAAACGATGATGAGACACCAGCAACATTACCGGACAATGATGAGAGACCAGCAGCATTATTATTATTACCATATGATGTAGCAGCAGCATTATTGTTGCTACCAAACGATGAAGAGATACCAACAACATTACCGGGCAATGATGAGACACCAGCAGCATTATTATTATTGCCATAAGATGATGTGCCAGCAAATTCGATAGTTTTAGCTTCAGATGATTCAACAGCAGAGTTGCCAATCTTACCAGCTGGTGATGAATCGGCAGATGCTATGATATTACTACCGAATGATCCAGCAACATAGTTATTATTATTACCAGACGATGACAAGCCTCCGATTGTCCATTGTTGATTATATGTGCCATCTTGATTTAAATTTGACAATTCGGATACAGTTGAGATTATTTTTGGTACTGGAGTAGGTTTAATGTTTGTAGCAGAACTTTGCAAGAAAAACAAGACTATTTATCAACGAGAAACAAACAAAGCAAAATTACATACAAATCCGAACTTGCACTTGAACTCATGCCTCCATAAGACGCATCACTATTAACGTGCTTTTGTGCAGCATTGTTAGTAGAACTACTTTGGATTACTGATGATTGCGCTGAAGAATTATCAGAATAATCAATTGAAACAAATGGTTGTGGTATTTTTTCATTTTCTGATGCACTTCGATATCTATCTTGCGTATCATTGGTAGAACGACTTGTTTCAGCAATTCCTAGATAATTAAATATATATATATATATAAAACTATTCATTAACTGTTCAACAAGAACTACTTGGACAAAATTCTGATTTTTCTGGAAGTAGATCACAATCAATAGTTGAAATATAAGAATCACGACATCGACTTTGTATATCTATGACAGAAATGAATTTGTTAAATTCTTATGTATGAAAATAAATATTCTTACCTCTACAGAATTTAGCGCATGGCAGTATACGTTCTTTACTACATGATGGAAAAAATAATGGACATAAAAATTTTGGCATCTGTCGAAAACATCCAGAATTCAAGAGTGGTCTAAATAGCGTGAACAACTCATTTGTTTCTTGTTTTGTTGTATGACCAAAAAAGTTTGGTAACGAGAATGTTGTTTGAGGTAATGCCGAACAATGTAAAGAAAATAATGGATAAAGTGGATCCATTATACTATAGCATGAATTATCTTTACCACCACGATTTGGAGCAGGTACAGATATCAACGAATCAATTTCTTCTGCAGCACCGCTGACAAATCAAATAACAAAAAATTAGATTCATTTTGTTTTTGAAGTAGATTAAAACTTACGCGCTATCAGCACCATTTGTTTCAACTCTTGTCTGTTGGTTATACGTCGGTTGAACCATTTGTGAACCACTATTAAATTGTCCATAATCAACCCCATATTGTAGTACATTAGCTGGTTGTCCGTATCGTCCATAAGGCCAATTAGCTGAAGCACCAGGCCAATTAGCTGAAGCACCAGGCCAATTAGCTGAAGCACCAAGCCAATTAGCTGAAGCACTAGGCCAATTAGCTGCAGCGCCAGGCCAATTATTACTATAAGGTTGTCCCTGGACATTTGAACCCCATTGGATAGCTAACACAATAAACAAATAGGAAAATGTATAAATTTGATTTTCACCATAAAGTATATAGTTAGTGCCTACGGTTATTATTATATTGTGCAGCAGCACTAATCGCCAATAGAAGACATACTAGCAGTTTCAAATGAATCTATATTATGAATATGATTTTAGAATTTTTAAATTAAAACAAACTAAAATAATAAAATTATACCTGCTTCATCATGTTCAATCGAAGTCAAGCGTCGACGTCGATGATACTTATAAAAATGACGGCAAATAAATCGTATTCTCTCTCTCTCGTATTCTCTTGTTTCTTACTAATGCGCTTGTTTACGTCCGATATAGATCATATCAGTGTGTTAAATGAAGTTGAACAAAGACAATAACTGGACTTTTCTAGATTCCAAATGATGGCGGGGGACGGAATGATGATATCACTCATTGTTTCTTTATCATTCACTAGAATTAGTAAAATTGACCTCGATTGCCTTTCTTTGCTACATCTTAACATGACGATTTAAATATATAGACATGTAGAAAAAGTGTACGAAACAAATATGTCGTCGAGTAGAAGAAAAGAAGTAAAATATGTTCGCTTTCGAATTGAATAGCCCGTCTATGAAAAGACGAAGAGAATGTTTCTAATACACATTTATCTAATTTCTGTTCAGATAAAATACACTTTCTTGTTATCTAGTTCGAGGTGATTCTGACGTCACTTTTATTTTCAACAATAATACTAGTGCAGTCATGCTTACGTATATCACACGATACGTGTTTTCTAGTATAATAGTCTACATCTCAAAAGATTCTTTGTATTGTTCCTATGGAAAAGTAGCGAATAGATTTCTAAGCAATGAAATTGGAATTAAATAAATACAGAAAAATATCATTTTAGTATTAAATAAAATTAACAGTAAATGCTAAATAAATATTGAAAAATAGCAAAAGTAAAAAATTTTACAAGTTAATTCTGATAATCTTTCTAGAAAAGGACGGAATACTAATGAATAATCAAATATTTGTCATGGAACATCGTTATATACGTCACTTTTCTGAGTCAGAAAATAATGAAAAACAAAGGTTTCCTTTTGTTTTTCTTGTCCGAGAGAAATTCGATCTTAAAAATGCCCACATTTTATGAAATATATAAACCTTACTATAAAAATACCATCAGCATTACGAAGTAAAACGCTATATTTTAAAATCCATTATTTTCTGACGAAAAATATGTCACTGATTTTGTAAGTGATTTTTATTCAAATCAAGAGTTTTACTTTTTCTTAATCTTCTTTCTATTTTTTCGAAAAAATTTAAAGATCTCAGTTGCTAATTATTAGTTGCAGTTTGTTAATTACTTTTACTACAGGACTAAGTAAGTATGATACAACAATTAAAATATAAAATATAATCAATTTTTCTTATTGAAAAGGAGTGAATCATAGTAGTCCTATAGCTTCAAGAGCATGTCCATGTTACAATCAAGGTCTTTGTGATTCAAGTACAGGCTCGTGTGTTTGCCCATCAGGCTATGTTGGTCAACAATGTGAAAGATTAGAATGTACGATTGAAAATATTATTACTTTTTTCATTATCGTATTTCTATTGTTTGTCAAATTTAGCAACTACCTTATGTAACAATGTTGTGTGTAAAAATTCTGGCGTTTGTAATATAATTTCACCAACTGTTTCAACTTGTTGGTGTTTGTTAGGTAGATTACAAAAAAAAACAAGATGATGCCACAGGAATATAGAGATTATTTATGAGGTAAATTTATTTGTAGGTTTTCATGGAGCCTATTGCGAACGGCAAAGCGGTACAATAATATATTGTAAACTTTTATAAATATCTATAATTGTTTTCATGTATATTAGCTGGTTCACGTTGCGCTGGCACTCAATGTCGAAATGGTGGCATCTGTTATGAGCATTCACCTGCATCAAGTGTTTTTTCCTATTGCGCATGCCCACCAGGATTTACTGGCAGATTTTGTGAAACACGTTATTATCACTGAAATACGTGGAAAGAATTTTCTTTTTATTTACATATTTTCTTTGTTTTTTTTAGAATATTTTCGTTGTTCACAATCAGGTTTATTTGTTGATCAATATCAATGTGCTCAAGGTTCATATTTTCTTTGCGATTCTAACAGTAAAAACAAAACGATGCAATATTGTTTATATGTATAGATTTAATTTTAATTTTGTTTATTGTTTAGATAATCTCATTCAAGGTACATGTGCCAAAGGACTTCGATTTAATATCAATAAAATGTCTTGTGATCGTGCCAGTTCTGTTATTTGTGCTAATGTCTAAAATAAAATAAAAAGAAGAACGTTTTAAAAAAAATGATATAAACAGGATTAAAATATCATCGTTGAAAGTATATTGTCATCATCCTTGATAGTCTGAAATTCCAAATCGTTGTTGAAGGTGATATTTGTGTGTTGTTATATTTAAATTGACAAGGAAAGAATATATTTGTTCATTTTGTCTACTATGATGTTATTGAAAAGAAATTTGTTCAACCTTGAATGATCATATCATATTTACGTAGGCGGAATGCAATAATAAAAAATATGATGAATAATTTTCATCGGTTAAATTCAGAAGGTAAAATTCGTAAGACATATCATTTTGAAAAATTAATCGAAACGCAATGTCATCGAATATTTTTAATTATCAATTAATATGCATATTTATTATCTTAATGATCTGTCCATATATTCATGGAAGTATGTAGTAGATAGAAAAACAAATAGAAAAACAACAATTTCTATTTTATATTCAGAATGTTCATTGGATTGTGGAAAGAATGGTCGATGTGTTAAAACACAAATATCAACTATGCCTGAAATTTGTATATGTCATAATGAAACTTACACGAATACATCATGTACTGAAGTAACCTTAGACAGTGAAGAAGATGCTGATATTAAAATTATTAATATTCATGGTCCGTTACTCAAAGTTGAGTGATATATTAGCGAATTATTTATTTTATTTTTAATCGTAGCACGTCGGCTTGTTGCTGTGTGTGAACATTCATATTGTGGTGATGTTGGTGTTTGTATTGTCATTGATTCAACTTTTGGATGCATTTGTCCTGATGGTAATATTGCAGATAGATGTAGGTCAAATTCAATTATACCTCTCGGTAGGTGAATACAGAAGAAAAAGGCTAAAATATAAAGATTGTTATACTTAAGCGTCATTCTGTTCAACTGGATGTTTAAATGAGGGCGTATGTAATCCAATCATTGGTACATGTACATGTCCAAGTGGCTTTACTGGTACACGATGTGAATTAGCACGAAGTAAAACAAAATTTTAGAAACAATAGAAAAAAAATTTCTTGTTTCTCTGCTAGGTACTGATCTTTGTCGGGATATTACATGTCGTAATAGTGGCGTGTGAGTTTCAGAATTGATGCTGATTAATATCATTTCTAATTCATTTTTTTAATCACATATAGTTGTAATATAATAAGTCCAATCTATGCTACATGTTGGTGGTATGTATTTCTTTATTGAATACCTTTGATATTTCAATGTATTTCTATTTGAATAGTTTATTGGGTTTTCATGGTGATTATTGTGAACGACGATCAGGTATGTTTCTTAATTTATGTTAACCTATTAAGATAAGAGAAGACTGAATTTATACATGATTAAAGTTGCACCAAGATGTTTATCGAGTAAATGTTATAATGGTGGAACATGCTACGAACATTCGCCAGCATCATCCATATTTGCTTACTGCTTATGCAGGTGAGTCTATTAGGTTTTTTCTGAATGATTTGGTTTTTTTCATTCACTTAATTATTACTTATTTAGACCTGGTTTTGTAGGTCTTCGATGTGAAACTGGTAAGAAAATTTTATAGAGTATGTTTAATTAATTTTTTGTTGCTAATTTCATTAGAATATTTTCGATGTCCAAATAATGGCTTTTATGCTGATGCTTATGGTTGTGCACAAGGCAAATATTTTGAATGTGTTGAACAAAGTATGCTATTGATTCTAATAATGAACTTATTTATTTAACTTTTTTCTATTCCAGCAATTACCATTTCGCGTTCATGTCCACGAGGTCTTCGTTACAATTTCTTTCTTGGTCGTTGTGATTATGCTGTTAATGTAGCTTGTCCTATTTTATAAACTAAAAGACATTTGCGTTATACTTTGATTGTTTCTCATTCTTTTTTTCTTTCATTTAAATTAAAAAATTTTATTGCTTAACTACGTGTATTTACAATCGATATATATAGCATTTTCCCCATCACACAAAGTGAAAAGATAAAATCATGAATTCAATGGATAAGTACAATAGGTTACGTTTACAATAGAGAGTATACATATATATATATATGTGTATGTATGTATATATATATATATAAATAGGAAAAGAAAACTTAAAACGAAAAAGAAATAAAAACAGACTCGAACTCAAATAAAACTAGCTGTTCAAGATTATATTTTTTTTTTAACATGTTGGCAGATAAATTTTAGTATCATCATTTTCGTTAGGTTTCTTGTCACTTGCTTTTGTTGAATTATCATGAAGATCATCAGAAGATGAACCTTGACGAGCACGAATATATTCTGGACTTTTATTATCTTTGACAGCTTCTTCATCAACACGAACGCCAACAATATCCGATTCGGGAATATCAAACATCGGTTGAAGTAAAATACGTTCCTATGAAAAAAGGAAATGATTTTTTTTTGAATGAAAACATTTCAACAAAAACGTACTAGTATTGAACGGAGGCCACGAGCACCAGTTTTACGACGAACAGCTTTTTTAGCTATTGATCGAAGTGCACCATCAGTAAAATCTAACTGAGTCTAGATTTTAAAAAAAAATATTTTCTTTAAAAGGCAAGAAATTTTTCGAAACTTATTCTAAGACTTCCAATAAACTATCTATCGTACTTGATTTGTACTATATTTTATAGATTCTATTGGGAAAAGAGGAATTCTGAAAAATTCCTAAGTCCGAATCATTTTAGTCCTAATAGAACGTATCTTATGAGATAGTACTCAATCCTATGAAGAACTGACTTATTATTAGATTTCTCTTCTCAATTCATGATTAATAGGTGTTTTTTAAATATTTTTTTATAAACGTAGATGTGCTACACAAACACGATGCACATTCAAATCAAAACTTTGATTAGAATTACAAGTATATCGTCCTAAACAATTCTCTCTAGCTTATCGTAAAAATTAACCTTGTCCATTTGAAAAAGTGCTTGATATTGTGGTACGTAAGCATTGCGGGGTTCCGTTAAAATTCTTACAAGCATATCTTCAGTTAAACAATGAAATGCAACAATAATAGGTAATCTATACGAATGAAATAAAATAAAAATGAGAGAAAAAGAATCACTTTCAATTGTTTACCGCCCAATAAATTCAGGTATCATTCCAAATTCAATGAGATCACGAGCTTCACATTCCTGCAAATATTTATCACGCTCTAAATTTTCTTCAACAACCATATTGTCATTATCATCACGTTGATCATGTAAATCAAGTTGTGCTGCACGACGGCGTGATGGTGCTTCATTCGATGTTGAACCGAAACCAAGATATTTTTCTTTCTTACGACGACTTACTATTTTATCAAGACCTGTATATGCACCTGATGCAACAAATAATATGTTTGTTGTATCAACTTGAATAGTTTCACCACGCATTTTACGAGAATTTTTTTCAGGAACATTTACTATTGTACCTTCGAGCATTTTCAATAATGCCTAATAGAATAAAAATAATTGATTAATATTCAGAATGTACTTTTGTTTTGCTTATACCTGTTGTACACCTTCACCACCAACATCTCGAAGTTGATGAATACCTGGTACACTACCAATTTTATCGACTTCATCCAAAAATACGATACCTTAAATAGAATATTTACATGAAAATGAATCATAGCTGCGTGAATTTTTTCCTTATACGCATTGACACATAGTTCGAGGTTTTCTTGATTTGAAAGAAACTTTCAGACATTTTTCGAAAATTTTCCAGCAGAAAGAATTAAAAACACAAAAAATTCTACAAAAATTTCTTGTCAAATCAAGAGAACTAGTGATTTCCTTATTCGATATACCTCTTTATATAGGTGTTGTTTTTAAGTAGTGAGGATGATTCTGTTAGATTTTTTATTCAAATAAAAAATTTCACGAGCATTGAATAAATCAGCGAAAATTGCATGGACAGTTGGTAACTTATTCCTATAAGTTTTCACGAACGAATAGATTGGTATTTTAAAATTTTTCTCATTGGATACGTATGTAGTCTAACTATATACAGGAATGTACAAGAACAGAAAAACAAATAAAATCATACACATAGTCAGGATAGACTCTATGTAAAAATACAAACGAGAGTACATGAAATCCCCGTGATCTTTTATTCATAAATCAAATATTTATGCTCATGTTTAGCAGAGCAAAAAGATTATTTTTCTTTCGATACGCATTAGAGATTGAATTTATGAGAAAAATTAAGCTCTTTTGAGTAAATAATCGAAAATTTTCCTTTATTTTCGTTTCTAAAAGCAATCTTATCATGAAATCTATTAACGACAAAATCATTATTTCTTTATCTTTTCAAACCTTGTTGACATCGCTCAACATTATAATTTGCATCTTGAAGTAATTTTGCAATAATTGATTCTACATCTTCACCAACATAACCTTGAAAAACAAATTATAAATACTATTGATTTATATCCTTATTTTTCTGTACATACCAGCTTGAGTAAGACTTGTACAATCACAAATAGCAAATGGTACGTCAAGGCATTTTGCAATTGTTTGTGCAAGCAGTGTTTTACCTATACGAATAAAAGAAGTAGCTGTAATAAAAATTTCTAAGATCCTAAAATTTAAAACGCAATGCAAATCCTGGTTCTTATCGCAGAGATATAATGTTGTACCCTGTTTATGCTTAATCGTTAAAAAACTAAATAAGGAAGAATTTCATATTTTGTTAACAAACATGATTTATAAACATCGCATGATTGTATATCAGAGAGCTATGTGATGTTTCGATAGTTGAATCTGTAAACAATCGTTTCGAAGACATCTGATTGATAGAATCTTTGTTTTCATATTGTAGTACTTTTTTTTCGAGATTGTGTTTCACAAAAAACAGCATTTAAATTAAATTTACCTGAACCGGTTGGACCAAGCATAAGTATATTACTCTTTTCAAGTTTAAGATCATATTGTTCACTATGTATAACATCACTTCCAAATTTTATTTCTTCATTATTATTATTATTAGCAGGTTTCGTTGAAGCTAAATTTTTATTATTATTTAAAATATCAAGTGGTATAGTATAAAACGGAATGCCAGCATTAAGAAGAAAACCAGAAAAATTAAAATAAAAAAATTAAATCGAATAGGAAATTCTATTATATATACCTCTTTGTTGTTGTTGTTGTTGATTGGATACACTTACTAATGCATTTTCCGAAGTACTTGGTTGAGATTTTGTTATTGAAATATTATTATGTAAACGTTTATAATGATTATAAACAGCAACAGACATAACTTTTTTTGCATGCTCTTGACCGACAATATATTTATTAAGATATTCATAAATCTTTAACAAAAAGTTCTATGTAATGAAAAGATTATCAATATATATATAACAAGCTACTTTTTTTGGTGAAGGTGGTGGTTGTCGGGTTTTTGCTTTCTCTTCAGTAGCTTTCTTTGCTCCTTCGTTTTCAGATAAAATAACAAAAAAATGACTACATTTTTCACATTTTACGAATCTTGTTGAAGCTAATTAAAATTATTTATTTTGATTTAATTTATACAATATTTTATTTGAAACAAATACTTACAAACAAGACTTTCAACATGTGTACAAACATCGCCACATTTCGGACAAAGAAATGTTATTTTACCAGAACCATCATTATTACCACCACCACCACCACCACCACCTAAAAACATAAAATAGAAAAAAACATAATAAATCTAGCTTATTCTTATTTCTAATAAACTGAAGATAAATTTGAAAAGAGAATACCTTTGGATATGAATCCATATTTTCGTGTATTAACAACTTCAAAGTGAATGTTAAACTTCTTTTTGTTACTAAAATACATATTCTGTAATTACCTTTTGAACCTTGTCCGAAATCGCGTATTGTAGATGAATTATTACCCGATCGTGCTAATGTATTATTTGATAATGAAAATGAACGTAACTGTTGACATCTTGATACTAGGAAATTCTGTGATCGTTTTGAATATTGACGTGAACTATTGGCAAATATATCTTTTAAAAAAAAGCATAATTTAATAATTATGAATTATATAAAACGAATGTCTATACCGAATTCATAACGAATAAATCGTGCTGATAAAAGTTTTCTAGTATACATAGATTAAGAAGCGATGAAATGTACAATGTTCTTAATCTTTGACTAGCAACATAAACTAATTTAGCAAATAATAGTTTAAGATTCTAAAAAGAAAAATATCTACGTAACCATGATAAAAAAAAAGCAAATTGCTCTTTTCAAGCAAAGTATGAACTTAGAACACATGATCAGAGAAAACCTGGATCATCAAAAATATTTCTTTCTCCACTGTGGAATTGATCAACCTAAAGAGGGTGCTCGATGTCTCAACCTCAATGATTGGATAATCGGTAAAAAAATCTATTTAGCGAATTTTCCTTCGGAATATTTTTAGCTATTCAAACCCTAAAACTATTCTTAAGCATGTCAACAAATGGAATGAATTATTCGATGTACAAGTACGATCTGAAATGATATTCACTGTCATTTTAATTTAATTTAATTATTATTTTACTTTTAGTACTGTTGCATATCCTCAAATGAACCAGCAGCAGCAGCAGCAGCAGCAACAACAACAACAACAGCAATCTTTCTATGGACAGCCATTTCAAAATGCTCTTTCACAGGTAAGACTTTCTGAAACTCCTCTAAGATTGATATTTCTGCATCATTATTTAATAAAAACTTCGTTTTATTCAGCAGTTTTCTGTGAAATAAACAAATCCACCGTAGAAATGAAGGATCGAATTTTTTATTTTGAGTTTATGATGTCAATTTTTTAATACAATTAACACATCATATTATACATGTTGGACAAATATTAAGGATTATATTTATGTATGATCATTTGAAACTTCATTACAAAGAGAATACAGCAGGTGCGACTTTATTATATGAAATTATTTTACAAGAGAGATACTTGTTTTTTCGTAACTTGTTCTTGTAACTGTATACACTCATCGATTTTGCTCCATCTCTTGAAAAAATAGATTTCTTTATTGAAAATACAAACAGATGATTGAGTACTAGTGTTAAAGAAATTTCTTCATGAATGTTACTTTTCATTTTTTTTTATCGTAATATCAACTATTTTAATCAATTTTTGACTAAAAATATTTATTTCTAGCTGTGCATTACACCTATAACGTAAAGAATAAGATAAATCGACACAAGGCATTCAAGTTTTGATGAACCAAGTTGCTATTGAAAAAAAAAACATAATATATTAGAAGAGCCAGAAAGAGAAATTGTGTGAAGATATCACAAGATCTATATTTCAAGTAGACGTCATTCTTCTTCGGAAACAGAAGAATCATGATTGGAATAATAGATATTGTTAAGGGAAAGAGAAAAAAGGAAATGAATACGACAACAATATGAATAATAGTTTCAAGATGCATTTGACATTTTGGACTCATAGTCTGCATGATTCTATTCTTTTTCCGAGTGTGATCAATGATGAGTAGTTTACTCACGGGAAGCACCACACATGAAAGAGCGGCTTCTCTCCGAGTAAAAGACATAATGAAATTCTCATTCACTCGCTATCTTCTCTAAAGAAAATTTATATGTCTTCAACAGTTTAACATAAATAGGAAAACAAGAAATCCAATGGATCAAGTCAATTTCTTTCTACTCGAGCGCCTCAATTTTCCATTTCGTTTCGTTAAGGTTATTTTCCGCTTGATGTTTAGAGATAATTCAATTACGTGATAGAATATTCAATATGATTCATTTTTAGCAAACAATCTCTCCATATGGTGCTTATCCGATGTATTCTTCAACTTCAATACCGAATTCAGCACAATATAACAGTAAAATTATCAGACAAAAAAAGAAAAGTTGTTTTTTCATGTTTCATCTTGTGTATCAGGTTATGATCATATTATTCGATCAACTGCCGAAACTCTTGCTGCTTTTAATCATTCAACTGAAACATCAATGCTTAATAATTCTCAAGCACACTTTAATCGATCGAATAATGCTCAACCGAGTTCAAATCGTCGTTCCACTAAAAGCTCTTTCAATGCAAATAATGCAACACGTATGTATTATTGTGAAACATGTCGTATAGCATGTGGTGGTCATGCAACATATCAAGCACATTTAAATGGATCTAAACATAAGAAAAAAGAGCTCGTTGCTCAAAATCAACAATCATCTGTTAACACAAGTTCGAAAATAGGTGTTAATATAATTCGATGTGAATTATGTGATATAACATGTACGAGCTCAGATGCCTATAAAGCACATTTAGATGGAAGTAAACATGAAAAAGTAAGAATTTAGCTAATTAAATTCTTATTCTTCTATCATTATAAATAGGCTACGAAATTGCATCGTAAATTAGGTAAAACTATACCATCAATAGAGCCTCAAATTTTGAATAATACTTCAACATCATCTCAAATGAATGTCACTTCACAAACTGCACCAAATGAATCTCAGACTATGAGAAATGACAGTCAACAAATAGCTCTATCGAGTTTACTTGAAAATAATATTAAACCCATTGGCGAAGAATATATTGAAACAACATATGATAACACAAATAAGCCCATACTTTATAATTGTAAACTATGTGATTGTAAATTTAATGATATTAAAGGAAAAGATATGCATTTAAAAGGAAAACGTCATCGACTTTCATATAAGGTAAGCTTACAATATAAATCAAAAATTTTATTCAAAATTTGTATTTTATTTTTTTTTTGTAGAAAAAAGTAAATCCAAATTTTGTAGTCGATAATAATGCTACTAATAAATTGACAAATTTAAAACCAAAACAAAGCAATAATCAGCAATCCAACGATATCAATTCTAATACAGAATATATAAGTACACAGCAAATGATGAATAGTAATAATCAATCAGATATTGACGATGACACAAGATGTTTAATGATGCTACATCAACAAATCATACCATCACCTACCCTAGTAAGTTCTATCGCGTTTCTTATAATTAATATTCGTTTTAAAATTTTAAATCGAAGAATTTTCTCGATACTAAAGTGAAAATTCAAGATAGGGATAAATAGATAATAACACAAAATATCGATCGTTATTAAGTTACTCATCGAAGGTTCGAATGTAAATATTTGTCTAGTCTAAATTCTAAACATGCATCAAAGTTCAATAGTAGAATTTCAGTATTTCAAATAAATTTCATCATTCATTATGAACTACATGATTAGCTAAGAAAACTGAAAAATAGCTCAAATTGTTTTTAGTTTCTATTTAAAGTTGGCTCTAACAACATTTTCAGAATTATTCTTTTGATACTTTATTAGTAAGATTTTTTCATTTTAATTTTGCAGCGAGAGAAAATCGCTAGAAAATATCTGAATCCCTAGCTAAGAAAGTTTTTTACTCATATTAGATTAAGAGTTTTTGAGAATTCTGATGAAATAATGTTACACTGCTTGTTCAAGATTTCCATAAAAGATATGTAGATATATATATATATATATAGAGTTCTAGATTTCATATTATTATTATTATTATTATTTAATCTTGTTTTTCATATTACAGCTAAACACTATAGAACAATTCGTCAGTGCTGTTGAATCAGCTTTAAAATCTTGTTCAAAACAACTTCAAACGTCCACCACATTGCTGACCGATAACAATACTTCTGTATCCGAAACGGATGTGTAAGTTAGAGTTTGTTTTAATAACCACAAAGAAATTCTTTTCTAAATTTAATTGTTTTTCTCAGTAATGAATCACCTTTAATGGGTGTATCTCGTGTCGGTTTACTTGGGAAAAGTTTAATAATCAAAACAGATCGCTTATTTCATATTGTTGTTCTTTGTGCAGAATGGCCAACGAAAAAACTTTTTCAATCGATCGCAGCCATACTTTCAGATAACTTAGATGTAAGTAAACACAATAGTTATCTTTTATCTAATCATAATGTAAATGCTCAAAAATTAAAATAGGATACATGGAAAAATAAAATTCAAGTTCAACATCAACTCGATCAAGAAACCATAATCGTACAAACAAATACAGAAGAAGGAATAATGTATATCTCAATCGCATTTACTTCATTGGCTATTCAACAGCACGACAAATACGAAAGTAAAAATATTTATTAATTTTTTTTTCGAAAGATCTTAATCGATTTTTGTTATCTTTAGATCAATTTGAAGAATTTCTATCGAAAATAAACTGTCTAAATGCCTTAAATTTAATTCAATCAACTCGATGGTTTCAAGTAAAAATTGAAGCTTATACATGACATTTGAGTTTTTTTTCTTTAAATTAATTAGAATCAAGCGAGTCCTCGACAACACGCATCAGCATTAGTTCGTTGTTTACGTTATAAAACGAAAATATCAACCAATTGGAAATCATTATCATCTGAAGTATAAATTAGTCTATTTAACTTTTATTATTGAATTAAATACTTTGCTTATATAGGCTATTGAAATTCTTATTGATCAAACTTTATCACAATACTTATCAGCTGTGAACGCATTTCGACGTGTTCTAGAATATATTTCCGGTGGTTTAGTGTTATCAAGTTAGTGTTGATTTTTTCTTTCTATCACGATGATTCTGTATTGATATATTTAGATGGTCCCGGTTTATGCATACCTTGGCAAACAGATTCAATGAAAGATATCTTCGAAAATTTAACGAATCAAGAAAGAAATGACACAACTCAGGAAGCTCAAGTAAATAGAAATTGATTTCATATACCTTTTTGACTGTAACAGAATTTTCTATGTTTGAAAAAAAATAAGACGTACCATCTCGTTGGTGAGTGCTTGACTGAGAAGATTCTATTGATGTAAGTCTCGAGAGAGCATGAGAGAAATTCAAATTGTTTCGAACGCAATATCAATATATAAAAGAAAAATCTATGAGAATCGGAGATATTGAAAATGTATTGCAATGATCAAATGTCAAACTATATTTTTAATTGAATTTCCAGGAAATTCATAGTGTACAAAACTGTATCCTATATTCTTTTATGATATATTTTAGTTAGGTTTACGTTTGATGTCATATGGGCAATTATCGAAATGGTTTGAACAATCGAAAATTCAACAATTAATAGTCATGTTACCAAAGCGCTCTTTGTCTGATTGTGATGATCAAAGTAACAAAAATAAAAATTTAATTTTTATTGAGAAAAAACGTTTTTATATTTTCATTTAGCTCCAGTAAAACGACAATGTACGGAATCAGAATGAGAAACTAAAAATCTTATTGTTTTGCTTATTATGATACGATTCTAATAGAAAGTTGTTATTATTGGTGATATAAATTTCAACGGGATATCTCTTGTTTACGGTTAAACTAAATAAATAAAATAAGAAAATTCATTAGAATAATATATACAGTTTTTCAAGAACGGAAAAATAAATTTTTTTCGTTGCTTGACAATTTTGAAGTTCACAATATTCAATCTGTAATGAATATCTATTGGATTTCGGAAGAAAAAGCTTGATGTTTTTAATCTACAAAAAAGAAAGAAAGAAAGAAAGAAAGAAAGAGCTTTGCTTATATTTGAAGGCGTTATTTACTGAATGAAAATTGTTTGGAATACTAAAATGAAAGATATCATATCGTCCAATTTGAAAGGACTTCAAATTATTTATTGAATGAATAAGTGGAATTTCAATGGAATATCCTTTTTCATTAGTTAATTCAATAAAAATCGTTTCATTCATTTCGTTAAATTGTATTTCATTGACAATTTTTACTCGAAAGTCATATTCAATTAAAGAATTAAAAGTTAATAGATTCGAACCTAGTTTCTATATCACATGAATTAGTACTATAATTTGATAGATGATTCGAGTCTTTGATTGCATCTGAATGTTTTGTTTGTACATGAAATTGATTTGAAGAAAGATTGGTACTTGTTTCTAACCAATCTTGAATTGTTTCCTTATTATAATCTAGATATAGAAATAAAATTGATTCAGTTTGGTTCAGAGAAAAAGAAAAAAAACAGGTTTCAAGGCTGACGTCTCTATTATTTTTTTCTTTGGCTTAGAAATAATAGCTATGTATTGTATTTACTAGTGGATGATGTTTGTTCATTGAGAATGCTGTTTGTCGATGGTTCAGATTCTTCATAAACTGTACTCATATGATCTACGGTAAATAATTTACTAGGTAACTTAGCAGTCATTTTTGTTGTGGTTGATTGTTGATTAGATATTTCATCAGGTACATTATAATACTGATTGTTTGTTAGAACTAATAAGTGATTAGTAGTTACGGAGGAATTTGTTAGGGATGCGATAGAACACGGTGATGATGTATAATTATTTTTTGAAGATAATTCAATTGCATTCAGTTCTGTTTGAGCTTCGTCTGTTACTATTTGATCGTTATTTGTATAATAGTCGTTCGGTGCTTTATGTTTAGTTGGTTTATGAGTTTTATTGAGCGTCTTCAATTTGATATCTGATGAAACATTGTTGAATTTTGATTTACTTGAAGTGGAATGTATTGTAGAATGTTGAACGTCACTAAGAAAGAAAATTAATAGTCTGTTCGATGATTTGAAATTTGTCAAAAGATAACCTGTTTTCTTTTGTAAGATTCTTTTTCATAGCTGTGATAGAATATTTTTTTGATTTATTTGCAATTGATAGATTATTAGTAATTAGTCGTCGTCGAGAAATAAGTTTTCGTTTATTTGGTGACGTTTCAGATATTTTTAATAGACTTTGTTGATGATCTTTACGAGATATTTTTGCGTGCACTGACGATAGTAATGCTTTTGTTTGTAGTGACTGTTCATTTTCATAATTATCAAGTGATTTTTGAATAAAATTTCCATAAGAATCATAATTCTTTGTAGTTGTATCGATGGTTATACTAATATATTAGTTTTTTTTTAGAATAATTACAGCTAAATAAAAATATATTACGCATCCATGTCTTGAGTAAGTGTTTGTGAATCGTATTCATTGGAGGCATTTTGTTTTCTAGTTTGATTTGGTGTTCCTTGTTGGGAGACGAATGAATCATCAATTGAGGTATGTGAACTTTGATTGAAAGTAGATAATGACGATGAAGAAGACATATTCATAGATTGCTTGGATTGATTTTGAATGTTACATGAAGATTTCTGTGATAAGTTTGTACAAAGAACTTGATTATCTCGTGTTACTGATGCATGAGATAATGGTACACTTCGACTACGTCTTTGCGAGATCTCATTTTCAGTTGGCGAATAAGGTTGAACACTTTTTAATAGAATCGGCATTGAACGCTTTGATAATGAATTATCAGTATTTAATGTGAAACCTGTTTCATATTTCTTATGAATAGTTAAAGTTGATTTTTTTTCGGTTGGTTGTTTATTTCTTAAAATCGTATCATTATTATCATTTTCTAATCGATTCATTTGTGCATTCATGTTAGTAATATTTAATTCAGGTGAAATTTGATCATGAGATTCCGTTTTATGCAGTACAAAATCGAACGAATCTGACAAGACAAGGGATGTTTTTGATTGAATAGATGTTGTTATATTTGTCTTAATGGACTTCGTTTGTTTAGATATATTTGATGAACTTTGACTTTCAATGATGCTCATCATGTTTTCTGAATCGGCGGTAAGATTTTTTTCGTTTATTTTTGATATTTGCTTTTGATTTGCTTTACAAGTTTTTATTAAACATGCCTGTTTCGATAATGATAATCGACGAAAATTAGTTTTCTTCGTCAATCGATCAGCTATTTTCTTTTCTTTTTTCATTGGTACAGGATAACTGCAAGCAATAGTTTTAAATTAGTTCTAGATGAACTGAGAAATGACTATCTTGTATTTCACTTCAATTCTGGCAGAGAGTTCGTTTTTAGTTCTTTGATGACTCCTATGGGGATAACGAATTAGTAAAGCTTCGCTGAATATTATTTTCGCCGACTCCAACTTTGCCGAATAAAAATCTTGACCGAAAAATATCGAATCAAATTTGATCCATTCTCGATATAGAATTTTATCCTAACTAACTACTTTAATAGTGACTTGATTAATTAACCCCATCTGAGTTGATAGCCCACACCCACACCTCACAATTTAACTCGCAAATAATTTAGCAATTGAGGCGAGTTCCTAGATTAAAGTCCAATCAAGCAGGGGAAATCTTTAGGAGGGCTGTCCCTTAAGAAATTTTCTTTCGAAAAATCTTTTTTTCTTCCAGAGCTCCTTTTGACGTTTTAAAAAGAATTAAGTTTGTTTACTATCATGACTAAATCTCCAAAAATATTATACGTAAGATAAAATTAGATTTTCGAATTTTCTTTCTAAAGTGCTAGCGATTGAAGGAGCTGAAATGCCATGCATGCTAAGAAGAAGTTTTGAATAAAAATTAGTTTTAAGACACATCATGATTAGGAGATACATTCAGTTTGAGTTACACAAAGTGATGTTGCTGAAAAATGCAATATTCGATAGTTTTTGTAATTACTTTTGGTGACTATAATGATTACTGTGTAATTTCTGCTTGATTGATGGTTGTTGTGCACTTAAATTTCGATTTTCTGTACTTTTAATTTTATTGTTGTGTAAAATATATGAATAGGGTCTCATTTTTACATTCATGATTTCTGATTGCAATTGATTCATATATTGTCGAGTATTTAATGATAATTTGGATGGTAATAAATGATTGAGTATCTTATTTTTGTTTGTTACTCTTTGCTGTTTTAATAAACATGACGAAGTTTTCTTTGGAGATAACTTTTTACGTGAATTCATATTTTTATCTTGTGGAACTTGACGAGTAATGTTTTGATTTTTACCAGCTACGATAAAATATTTAAGTTATAAAATTGTCTTAAGTCAAACTACGATGGATTTTTATCCATTTACACAGCTGAATTCTAATGTAGAGGTAACCTTCCTTATGAGTCTACAAGAAGTAGAGAAAAAAGAGAACAGATGTTATAGATTTTGTAGCGTACCTAAATTGATACTTAAATTATAGCAATTAACTTGTACACACTCTAGAATGTGTCAATTTAATCTAAAGAGCAAATCTATCGAAGAACTGCTTGCTATATGCTCATGATGAGCGAATTTGTGTACAATAAGTTTAGTTGCGCTAGATGTGTTACAGAGGATATAGCATCAATTAGTTTGCTTGTAGAAAAACTACAATATATTCTATCTCAGATCGAACTAGCCCAATCATAGCTTGAACTTTTAATACGGCTAATCTCAAACTAAGCAGTAAGTATCGTATTGAATAAAATGAAAGACAAAAGTAGAAGCCAAGTCGTTATTGACATAGGCTAATCGGAATTCAGCATCAGATTTTAAAGCGCATCTTAAATTGTAGATTCTTGTAGTTATTGTTTTGTTTTCCAGATCTTTTGTTTTTTACAAATAAAGTTCAACTTACGATGTCGATTTTTAAGAGTATTTGCTTGTTGTTGATCAAATTTTGTTTTTGAACTTCGTCTATTATTCATCAATTGTATTGGTTTAGTAGTTTTATTTCGATATTCCTCAAGTGTTTCAATTGATTTACGGTACGGATTCGATTCATTTAAAGATGAACTTGCTTGGTGATCAATATATTTCTTTTTACCAGTGGTTTTAACACGATCACCTGGATGAATTTGTCTACTTGAACTAAGAGTTAATTTTTCTGATAATGAATTGAGTTCGTGAACTAGATTTTGAGAATTAAATGAAATATTTGTATCATTTAATGCAGAGAAATCATCTTCATCATTTTCCGAGAGAATGTTCTCAGATAATTTCTTGTAAGATGATACTATTAATGGATCAATAGAAGTCATCGTTGTTGATTGAGCAGCATCTTGTGGTCGTGTTTTCTTGTGCGTGGTGATATCTGACAGACATTGCATCGATTTGATTAATTCGAGTCTATTGTTGTCCGAATGGAGAAGATCATCGTCAACAACATATTCGACACTAACGAAAAATCAATAAATGAAAAAAGGTACTTTTTTTATGTTGATCGATCAAACCGATAGATCCTATTGCTTTTCGGATGAAAGATTTCAATAAATCCTGGTTGATACAGATTACTTTTGTTTGGTTTCGATCCGACTAATGAAAGTTTGAGTTTTTTCAACTACAATTTCAAAATAAATTATTTTGATTTTTATTTATCAGAAAAGAAATCATTAAAACTTTTCCAAGATCTTTTATTAAATCGATAGTAAAAGTACGAATTGTATTTTCTTCTAATGGTTCGTCATTATCTTCGATTTGGGTAAGTATCGTCTTGTCCGATTGTTCATTTTCATCAATTAATTCTATTTGAAGTTTCGTATCTTGACCAAGAAATTCTTTCTTGATTGTTTTCATTTTTATTTTATAAATGTTTTTTTCAGAACTATCTATTGATTTAGTCATATATGTCTATTTTAATAAGAAATTTTATTCTTCATACGAATCAATTGATTAGCCTACTGAATGAGCTGAATATTCATTTAAATGAATTGTTAATGGATTATTTTTTCTATTTAATATTTCATTTACATCGACTTGATAGGTATTTTTGGAATTTTCATCACTAATTTCAAATGTTGATATTAACCACTTGAAATAGAAAAAATAATTCAGAATATTTTAATTCTGATTTAATTTACTTCATTTGAGATTTCTTCATCAATAGAAAGAATTGCTGATTTCAGCTAGAAATAGATTTGATGAATGTTTTATTTGAAATCATTTCAATATCATACAATGCCAATATCAGGTATATTGAGAACAAATGTATCGTAGTTTTTTTTTTCAAATAAATTATTTGAATTTATTTCTGATCTATTTAGATAAATTTTATCCGATGTGCCTTTATCTCCATTTAATTGTAATTGTACTTCAGGAGTTGAACCCATCAAATTTGAACTATCCGTTTTTATTGAAATCTTATATTTATGATCTGCGTCGATGAATTACTGTTATAGTTGTAACTATGCATAAAAATATTTCTTACTTCTCGATTTTTTAGCTCCCTGTGGTACTTCTGTTGAAATTTGATCTGTTAAATAAAGCGATAGAATTTATTCTTTTTTCTCTGCAGTAATATTAACGTTTCCTACCGAAATTTTTCTTAGCTGTCATTGTACTTGGAATGCTAGGTAATGAAAGTTGATTATGAACCATTTTGGTTGATGTTGCATTTTTAACATCTATGATGAAATAGAATAATTATTATTCTTCTACTATAAAAATAATTTACATCGTGGAATGGGTTCAGCTTTTGCACTGATTTTTGGACTTTTTAAATCAAGCATACGATTAATATTAAATCTAATCAATAAGTATAAAAAAAAAACATTAGTTTATCAAGAATAAAGCACTTGAACATTTTATCATTGGAGAATAGCAGCTGTGACATGAAATAGAGAACTTAATGTTACACACATTTTAAGATCTTTGCAAGACTTCGGGTGGTGTCTTGAGAGTACTAGAGTTGTTAAATAAACATCTAGATACAGCTTTCTTGAAATTCATTTCGAAAAGTCAGTCACGCTCTAGGTAAAATTAATCAACATATTATTAAATAAAAAAATCAGTTTATAAATGAAACTTCTTAATAGTTATGTTAGAAAAGGATATTTTACGTTTCTTGTCAAGTTTTGCTTGTGTGCGATGTATGATTTTATGGAATCATTTTAGCATTTATGTCGAATTTAGATAGAATTATTATTAAACAAATGTTTTCCATAGTTCTCGTGTCACACAATGGTTGTAATGAGACAATCTCGTCGGCGTCAACCCCTTCGATATCGTTGTCGATGAAATTCAAGCTTATGTGAATAAAAGTCAAAGTCAACTGCGCACTTTTCTTTTATCAAAGGAGTTTAAATTAAGATGACAACTCTCGTTATCGAGTACACAGCATCCAAATGATGGTTTATGTCAATCCTAACAAGTTTATTTTTTCACTTAACCAGATGCTATCATTTGAATTCACAAAATAGAAAAAGAACGTTTCAAAACTGATGCCAAATTTACATTTCTTTTTTTTCAATTTATTTTAAATAATTTTGACAATTGCTGTTAATAGTAGTAGATAAATACTCAAAGTATATTCACAACAATGATTCAAGCTTGATTACAACTATTGTGAGGAATCATTACGTACTCGATAAGACTCATGGTTAAAAATAATCTCTGGTTCACTTAGAAATTTGAAGAATCGATGTATCTATTCATGCAAGAAAATCTACATAGTCAATGTTGAAAACCATAGGAATTTGAGCGACTACTCCTGCGAACGTTTGCTCCATTTTAAACGTTCTTTCTGATCTCATGCATAGATTTTATACAGGTCAAAGGCAACTATCAAAGGCAAGCAAAGCTGGTAGAAAACTGAAAGCTATAAGTTTATGATCTATTTCAACACTTTAGTTTATAATCTATCAATTTTCATAACAGCTTCGGATAGAACAGTAAACAACTGATCGAAAATGATTCAAATATTCGACAAATAGTTACAATCTCGATAAGAACAAATGATTTATGTTCAATGATGTAATATAAGAGTCGATGAACCTATACCTTGTAAAAATATCTTTAAACTGTATTTCTTGCCGTAAGAAAATAGAAAGTTCTAGCGTCTCCTTTTTTAAATATTTGACTTCTTATTAATTTACCTATAGGAATCGTTTGTTTTTAAATAAGTTATTTCAATATAATCGAGCCCAAGCCTTTTAATATTCGGATGTGTTATATCAATTTCAATTGATTGTAATTCACCTAATGAGGTCATATTTTCAATATGATATTCATCTTTATGTCCAGGTTGAAATGAATTATACATTGTTACTGGATTACTTAATTCAACTTCATGTTTGCCTTTATTTCCTTGAATAAGTAATTTTATTGCTCGATCAGGTCCCTTTAATTCGCTTGCTATTGTTCGAGTATAGATTACATAATCTACTTTTCGTTCTAAAAGTTTCGTTTTCAATAAGAAAATATTTAAGAAAAAAAGAAAAAAAAAACAAGCCATTAATCGGTTGAATAGTTAAAGAATTTGTTCTATCTTTTGCGTTGAACCATTTATATATTGGAAAGATGTAATCCTAGGAAATAAAAAAGAAGAATCTAATGAATACATCATTAATAAAATCTAATTAAATGAAATCAACTTGTTCTTGTATAATATCTCGAATAATAATTGTTTCAATAAACCATTGATCAATTTCATCGCTTGATGATATTTCTAAAGTTTTTATGGGACCAACATAATATTTCGACGAAAGTAAAAATTCATCTGTGTGATTATCTTGGAATAATATTCGTTTGTCATCTAATGGTGTTAATTTATATGGTTCAGATTTTCTTTTTTCACCTCTCAATATTATGTTAATCGATGGTAATGTTGACATATTTGATAAACCTTTTTCACCAGTTTTAAGTTTTAATAAATACCCAGGCTTTTCTTTCTCTTAACATAAAAATTAATCAATATTATGGTATTCCTTAAGCAATAGTTGTCTGAATGTCTGCTTTGTTTTCTAGGTCAATAGTTCTTTTTTTAGATAAATTTATATTATGATTAGCTATTTTTGTCTTATGGTCTCATGATAAATTGACTTGCTTATAAAAGCATAGAAATGCGCAAGAATGAATGAACCCGAGTTTTTTCAATCTATTGCACAGCTGTCATACAAACTTTCATAGTTGTTGAGACACGAACTATTGACTTTTATATTTTATTAGTGTAATATTTTCAAATTATCCAAATGACATACTAATTTTCTAATTCACATACTTTTCTATTGTGAGCAGGTGATAGATCTTTAATCAAATACATAAGATTATCCTCATCATAAAAGTTTAGTTTGACAGTCGATCGAACTTAACGTAAGTTGAAAAATGCAAAATCTAGGAAATATGCTTTAATGCAGATTTTAAACTTGCGATATAGCTTTTATTCTCTCGATCGAACGAAATATGAATAGATTATTACGTGATTGATTGCTGCATACCTTTATTGGAATCTGCCTGATCTAAATATTTAATAGTATTAAAATTTAACAAATTAAATAGAAAAAAACAGGTAAGGTTTTACTTATATTTTGTGGATAAACAGTTAAATGTCTTATTAAATTTCGATTCTCTGGATTTGAACCATCAAATAGTTGATTAACTATAAATCTATAGAATTGTAAATACAATTCAATGATTGATTATTTTTTGTTTTAGTTGTTATATAATTACTTATAATGATTATCTGTTTGATCTTCTTTAATAGTGATATATTCACAAAACCATAATGGCTGTATGCCTTCAGACTGAACAAGTAGTTGTAAAGAAATTATTTTTGCTAACTGTGGCCACATAACATAAAATGTGTCTAATTGATCTGGTTCAAATATTGAATTTTTAAAAGCCGAGTTTGCACTGCATAAATTATCTTTAAATAGAAAGAAAAACATCTAATTCTCTTTAATATTCGTAGGAAAATCTTTACCAGCAAAATTTCCATTTTCACCTTTGACTTGTAGAAATACCGATGAATCTGTTACTTTATTTGGTTGTTTTCCTGTTTTAACTTGAATTGTGTATGTTGAAAAGCCAATTTTCTTGTATGGTTTTATTTGTTTAAAAGGTTTCGATGGTAAACTATTAACGGGACCAATATCTTGTTGAATAAAAAAACGACTTTTATTATCATTAGAAAATTTATCCATTAGACGATTGAAAGGAAATCGATAAATATTAGTAGCATCATCAATTATCTCGATCCAATCAACTTTCCAAGATGAATATTGAGCATCATGATATATTTCAATAGCATATATATCACCTAAATAATTTAATTCGAGATTAAATAAATCGATTTGTCCTGATTGCCATTTATTTTTATTATTTGATTGTGTAAGAATTATATCCGATGTTTTATTATATGTACCATGTAATTTAACTGCTACATTTGTATCATTCGATAATGATGAACTGATTTCATTATTGGTTTTTATTTTTATTATATACTCAACTTGATTTGGCATATTCGATAAATCATTATTAATTTCATTTTCCATATTTTCATTTGTTTCATCTATACCATCATCAATAGAGATCTTTTTAGATAATGTACGTGCACAATGAAGAATTAGATTCATTCGATCAAGTATATCATTGGTGACCGATGAAAATAAAATGGTCTCTTTTACTTTTGGTTCATATTGCATTTGACACATTAACAAGTCAATGTCACCTTCAAACTGATTAATATATGTTACTAATTCTTGTAAATATCTTTTATCTTGATTTGATTTTGAATCAAGAAAAGACTTATTTATTTCACGTATAGCTTGCTTTAATCTATAATGCAATGTTGTTGTTTCAACGGAGAGAAGTGATCGATGTTCAGGACGATTGAAACGTTCAGCACGAAGCTATTGATGAAAGAAAAATTCACTTAGAAATCATATATTTTTCATATATGGTTAGAAATGTCAAAAGCTATAGTCTAATTAGGAAACACTATGAAATTTCTCTTTCTAATAATATCGATTCATTTTGTATTCGTTTTGAAGACAAGAATAAGGGTTTCAGAATGCACTAGTGAAAGGTTTTACTAAAGAATCAAACTTCTAATCAGTCGATATCAAAATCGTTTTTTAAGTTTAGTATGCAGAAATTCATTCATGATCATTATCCATCCACTTTTGTAATTAAAAGGTTTTATACAAAAGGAGTATTCAAGAGAAATGGGCAGACCTGCCAATATATTCTTTCTTGTTTCAATCTGATCTAGTCTGTAATTACTTTAAACCAACTCAAGTAATGTCTCTACTTTATCGGACCTTCTATATTTATCACTATAAACTATCATCTCAATTAAAATACTAAAGTTTTTCTACTAAAGGATAATCTTCTAACGAAAGAAAGGGTTTACTTAAATTAATGATATTTGAATCAATTATTTCTTTAATATATTTTCATGAGGCTTAGAAAAAAGTAGTAAACAAAATCAATGAGACAACTATGATAGATGCTTTTCACACAATAGAAACTACAATTAACAAAATTTGATGTTGATATTAGTGTTATTTAACATTATTGTAATTGAATTACTCGTAATAAAAAAAAAACATATAATAGGACAACCAAAGAAAACTTGCAAGAAAATATACAACGCAAATGTGAAGGATAAAACAGAAAAATAATAACAGACAGAAAACTTAAATGCGACTTTTGAATTTTTGTAACTATACAAACAAAAAGTATTCTATTCAATTTTTCAATATATAAAGATGCTCTTTTGTCACTGAATGCACTTATTGAGATATCAAAGTGATGTTCTATCGAAGTACTAATTGCTAAAATTGAATGAATTTGTCATGCAAGTTTTAGTGACAAATTCGTCCATCTTCAACGATACCTTAGTCTCAAGTTGAATCTTGAAAATCAAAAGGTAGATTAAAATCAGACCGACAACTTTAGCATGACGTGGTCTAACAATCGGATTTAATATTATACTGAAGGATCAGGCAATATTGGGAGCTCTGGTGGTGACAGAAATTTGCATTCACAAATGTGACAAACAATTTCAAAACCTTCTATGAAGAATGGCAGAAAAACTCGTAGAAATACGTGTCAGACACAGCTATCAAAATGTTCTACTTAAATTTATAAATTATTGTCATCGTATATTTTGTGAAAAATTTCGTTAGAGGAATGATAAGGTGACATGCTATGTCATAGATAGAGTAAAACCATCTCTCGACTAAAAATGGGTGTCTCAATATTATTTCGTTTGACTTGAAGCTAGTAGGTGGAAAACAGAAAAATGTATTTTCCGATAGGCAACTCCATTTAGTTTCCAGATTGAGTAAATAAAAAAAAACGTCTTCTGGTAAAATGTTAATTAGTATGAAAAAGTAGCATTTAAAGGTCAGAGAAGATTCTTTTCAGATTCATATCCGGAATTAGCATGAACGACAACTTATAATCCACTAGTTTGTATTAAAGCAAACAATTGATCAATTTATATATCGTTCTCTCATTAATCTTTTCTAACTTGTCTCAATTTGGCTATCTCAAAACTTTCTAATTCACAATCAATAGAACGAAAAAATATTTTCATTTCCTTGTTTTTAATTTCTGATAGATAAAAATATTCTGTAGAATACTTCATAAATATTTCGTTTGGCTCTTCTGCAAGCACGCTCAAGAGCTTGTTGATGTAATCGAAGATCATAATCAATATTAAATGTAATACAACAATCGCGTTGTTTTTCTTTCATATCATTGACTTCTTTCGAATATGGTAAAGATAATGGATCGATTTTTATTTTCGTATCTTTATTTTCAATGTAATTTATTGAATATTGATCAATGCTATCTGTTGTATTATTATTAGGTATTTGAAATGTATCATCACCAATTACATAGCCTAATTCACGTAGTTTGACAAGACCCTTTATTTTACGTTGCTCTTCTTCTTTAATTTGTTGTTCCATATGATATTTTTCACGCAATCTATCTTTTTGTCGTGAATGGTCTCTTTGACGTCGACCCTCATTATCTGTTTTAAAATCTCGCTGAATACGCAGAATCGTTATTGCTAATATAGTAAAATCTGTTAATGATACACCTGCATCAATTAAACTTTTTAAAAGCTTATCAGCTTTAGTTGTTATCATTAATTTCGATATTTGGGAAAAAATAAAGAAAATAATAAATCAATAAAAGTAAAATATTGCCTTCTAATTAATGCGCGTACTTTTAAAGCAGAGATTTTCATTGTTTTACTATCGATTCATTTTTAGTGAACATATGATAAGACATCTTTAGCCATATCAACTAAAACTGAAAAAAAACCATGCAATAATACATGTAATTGGTATTTTTGATCAGTATTTTGTTTTCTTTCAATATCTCGTAAGAGAAATCTCCTAGTTGATCAATCATGTTCAAATGGGGACTGCGTACTAATGTAGACTGCACAAGTTACAAATATTCTCTGAAGAATTCAGACATAAGGCTTATCCGTGGCGAGATTTTTTAGGTATTTTTCAATTTGATGTTACAGTTCCGTGCAGGAATATGAAAAATTACATGAAATAAAGCGATGTAGCGAATATTCTGTTTGGTAAGAGTCAGATTGTTTTGGGGTGTGGGTGTGATATAGGTGAGTGAATAGGCCTTCGACAAGTACACCGACCCAAATCGAACACCCACACCCACACCCTGGCGTTTGCTTTTTCCTGTTACGAGATAAAGTTTCGCAATCACATGAATCACATGTGAAATTTTGTGTTTTTTATGGCAATGATGAATAAGGTAAGAGGTATATAAACTGAAAAGAGAAAAAGAAGCACATATACTCAGGATAAATATCGACTATGTTTCCAGTGCCTACGTCATCTTCTAGTGAATCGTTTTGTTCAAATGATATTCTTTCGTGGAAATTTCCTAAAACTCTTGGTTGTTACACATTAATCGGTCGTTCAAGAGCAGACGATGCAACAAGTTTATTCATTCCTGAACTCGATATATTATTCGACTGCGGTTGTTCAGTTACAGCTACTCGTCCTCTCCACATTTTTATTACACATACTCACTTGGATCATTGTCTTGATATTACTAGATTATGGAGTAAAATTCGAATACCGCAAGTTTATATTCCTATATCCGCAGTTCACCCCATGAAAGACTATATTCGGAAATGTCAAGTTCTTACGATGGTTAAAGAAATTGATCCAGATCCAGCCCAATGGATACCTAGCCATGAGTTGATAGGTGTTAAACCTGACGATTTATTAGACTTTCGAAAAACAATGAAAATTCGTGTATTTGAAATGGATTATTCAGTGCCTTGTTGTGGATATGGATTTTATGAACGTCGACAAAAATTGAAAAAAGAATACGAGCATTTATCCAGTAAAGATATTGGAATGATGAAACGAGAAAATAAAAATCTCGAACTTAGTGAAGAACGAATAGCTCCATTATTTGTTTTTATGGGCGATACGACAGTATCGATATTCAGCAGATATGAAAATGAACTTTTTCAGTTTCCATTAATTATTGTCGAATGTTCCTATATCAATAGTGAACTTCATAGAGAACCAGCTTCGAAAGGCAAACATATAATTTGGGTAAGAAACAACTACATTTTTTTCCATTTAATGCATTGGGATATTTTAGGATGACCTTCAACCTTTCGTAATCAAATATCCAAACGTTATTTTTGTACTAATTCATTTTTCACATCAATACAAAAGCACAGAAATACGAGATTTTTTTCAAAAGTTAAATCTACCTAATGTTGTACCATTTATTTAACACGTTCAATCTGACGAGACTCAATAGTGAGTCTCAGTATTTTTTGTTAATAAATTAAATAGGAAAACACTTTCTTTTATGATCTGAGAATTTTTTCTCAGGAATAGTGGTTAACTATTATTACTTTGACAATAGGAATGGAAAAACTAACAGTCACTCACAAGTCATTTTGTCATTCATGCGGATTATTCATTATATTGTAATGCAACAGAACGAAAGAAAAGGAAAGTAAAAATTGATAAGATTGCATTTTCAAACTATTTTAACAACACAATAAATATTCAGCAGCTACTTATTGAAATGAATAACCTTTTCGATCAAATCCTTATATTAAAACTGAACATGTATTGACTTTCAATAATTCACTTCTGTCTAATATTCGTTGAGAACTACGTTAGAATCTTTTATTTACTTGTTCATATTATAATAAAGGTTTAATCAAGACCGAATAAAATTTTGAAGATCTCCAAGCGACAGTAACTCCCTGCAAGTAATTTTTGTAATTCACCCCACATGCGACACATTTCAAGTTATGTGCAGTCACTGAATGAAGTCACTGCCATAACCAAAATGACATTATCATACATCTTCGTTTTCTTTCGTGCTGTTGCATAATGCTATAGATGAATACCCAATAGCACTGATGCAATTGAAACTCGTTTTTCAAAAGTTGATAGTTAATAAAAATCCGAAAAAGTTGAAACAGTTATAACTCGAGTTATAACTGTAAACTGAAGTTGTAACCATAGATGGGCAAGTCAGCGTTTTTTCGACTCAAGTCAAGTCAAGTCAACTCATAGCTAACCCACAGAAAAAATTTCACTAAAAAAACGCGGTAAACCGCGGTATTGAAAACCGCGGTTTCAAGCGGTATTTGGAAAACGCGGAAGTCAGACCTTTTAGGCGTCTCTAAAAAAACGCTGAAAACCGCGTTTTAAAAAAACGCGATACGACGCGTTTTTTTTAAATTGAATAAACGGTCTGACTACCCCAGTTTTTTTAAGCGCGTCAGTACGCGAATTCCCCAAGACGCGATCAGTCGCGGTTTTAAAAAAACGCAGAAAAGTCGGTGATAATCGCGGTTTTAGAATACCGCATTTTACAGTTGACCTGATCACTTCGGTATGCTCAGGTGAGTTACCCTTCGTGGGGGTAGTGTAGTGAACTATAAGTTCCAATACTTCAAAGTCGCGTTGCAGCGACGAAGTTCATATTAAATTTTATAATGCGTTACAGATAGTAAAGTGCGCACGATATCCTTTCTGTTCTTACACATTGTTGCAGTAACATCGTACGAAATGCGCGAAGACAATACTGCCAGTTTATGATACCCCGACGCGGTTACAATCGAGTTCAACGCGGTTTACGATACCGCGACTAAGCGCGTTGCAAATTACCGCGATTGCCGTTTAGTTCAACGCGGTTTATGATACCGAGACTAACCGCGTTGCAAATTACCGCAGTTACAATCGAGTTCAGCGCCCCTAGTCAACTCTCCCTAGAAGAATCCCCAGGGAGTCCCCTGACAAATCCCCGGGGACTCACGACAGGGAGTCCCTAGGGATTTTGTTCTTTTATGGGGACTCACTGGGGANCCCCGGGGTGTTATATGACCAAAATCGGTGAAATATCTAATTACTAATAAATTCTTCTAAATTTTTTAAAATTTAAAAAAATTAAAAAGTTTTTTTTTAATTTTAAAAAACTTCACCAATTCTCCCCAGAGAAATCCCCGGGGACTCACGACAGGGACTCCCCAGGGATTTCGTTATTTTGCGGGGACTCCCCGGGGAGTCGTCGGGGGAGAGTGGATTAGGGTTGTTTTCTGCTATCGACCGTTTCGTTCGGTGCGTCATATCACGTAGTTGGAAAAGATAGAAGAAAGCGCTGGATTTATTTTTCTTCTTGCTTCGTTTGATATAAATATCTTTCGTTTCGAATAAAAAACTCTATTATTTGTGAAATCACATTAACTCTTCGACGAAGATAAGACTGTTATGCATTATGTATAATCGATCGAGTCTTTTGTCGCACGTTAGTACGTATTTTAGTAAAGACGAAAGTTTCAAACGAAACAAAATGTATTGCCGTAGAGCACCCTATGGATTATTATTGAAGAAAAGTGTAGGTGTGATGAGCTTATTTACCGACAAACACCCACACCCTGTACAATGATATATGTGTCACAGTTGACATGAGAATTTCAGTCGAGATTGGAATGCGCAAAAAAATAATTAATCGAAAATATATATTTTTCTTTTTTTTCTGCTGGTGATAATAGATTATAGAAAAACAGAAAAGAGAAGAAATATTTCTCAGATAAATCCAATGTCCCCATTGAATTATATAAAAACTCATTGTAAAAAGATGCAAGAATAGTTATCAATATAAAAATTTCTAAAGTCAGATCTCAACAAAAATTCTAATAAAAAAAATTAAGAAAAAAACTATTCCAAACTCGCCTGGCACATATGAGTTTTATGAATCGTAAAAGTTTATACAGTTGCAACTTTGAAAATTAAGTCACAGATTTAAATAAGCTTGGAAAAATTCTTATCTTCTTTAGACTGATTTGGAAGAGGCATGCATTGACGATACAAATTTGCATATTACCTACGATCCAAACTGCAGGATGAAATGTGAACTTTCAGTAGATCCTAAAATGGAATCACGAAATTCAATTTGAAACTTTATCATTCTCTTATTAACCAGGATATTTCTATATCTTCTGAACGGTTCTTCAAAAGTATTTATCTACAATGTACGACAATGGCAAAACATAATGACTACTTCTAGTAGAGCTCAGAAGTAAAAATGTTATTTAAGTCTTAAAAATAGAACCAGCTATGAAGTGGTTAAGGGAAATCACTTCTTTTTTTTTTACCGAACCATAGACATACCGAATTGAAGATAGTTTTAAGTACTGCAAGTACACTCATTCTACTGTGTTCTGTTGAGAATTATAAATAAAATCATACCATATGCATATTAAGACAAAATAGGTGTGTCAGTGTTCCAGTGAAGGCCTGTGCCTCAGTGAGTAGCAGTGCGTCAGTATTTCCGGTGTCAGTTTAGACCGATTGACAGTGTTGTCAGTGCAGTGTAGTTAGCTCTCGGTGCTCAGTATATCGGTGGCTTCAGCCATCAGTAAACTGAAACTACACATCCCTGACCTTATCGTAAAATCTATACAATACACAATATATATCTACATATAATTCATAAAAAAATCACAAAAGGATGAACAAAGCACTTCATAAGTAAATTCAAATGAATGTAGGGGTCCCTTTTTGGAACATTTTAATATTTTTTCTATAAAAACTTACAGATAAAAATCGACTATTACGGGGATCCTCATTGAATAACATCAATCCATTGAATCAAACTCAACTTTGTGGGAATTTTTAAAATAACTAGCTATAAGAACTCTCAATACAAGAAATCAGATAAAAAGAATATCATTGGATCATTCTGGATTCGATAAGCATGTAAAATGTTTCTTATAAACTTTACCGTTCTAGTCTCGATCCTAAATTTTGACTAATATCTGTGATTTTGGAATATAATGTATAGAATACCAATAATCAACACACTGAATAATTGCTAGCACTCGAAAACTTTTAGAAGAATGATAGATACTATTTTTCTCGGGAAATAGATGACATATAAATTGTACAGAGATACGTGTTTTGATTTATTATTTTTGCTTAATCGAGTCAACAGAAAAATCTCGTACATATACATTTAGTAATGATAAAGTGTTCTTTTCACGTCCAGTTACTAGCTACCAAATCTAATAACATGAATCTAAGTTTTTCGTCGAGTACAATAGTATTCTAGAGAACATACATCTTCCCGTAATTAACATTATTTTCGTCTATAGACACATTTTTCATAGTTAATCATCCATTCCCAGTAACTAAGTTAATCAAATGATGATCAATGAGAGAATAAAAAGACCTCATCAGTGTTTACTGTCTCTGTACTTCAGCTGTTTGAAATGTACACTGTTTTTTAAAATGTAGACATACTATTTCTTGTCTCTTGTAAAATGATCAATAACTTTTTTTTTCAATTACTAAGCATAGTATAACGTATGAAACAATATGTCAAGTACATTTATCTGCATTTTTACTATGCGACGATGCGAAGATGCATAAGAACGCTGAACTTTGCCACACAAAAACGTGTCTAACTACGTCTTAAGTACGTCCAATGATTAACATCTATATGCATATTTACATTTTGTAGAAACAGGTGCTAATTTAGTCGATTCTTGATAAAAATTAAATCTTCACTCAATACTAGAATAAGAATGATGAAAATTTAGAAAGTAAAAACTAATTTCTTTCACTTCCGGTTCATTTTTATCATAATTTAATGGCAAATCATATTAAAGAATAATAAATGAATGTGCTCTACTATTTAATTGCAAACTGCTTCGAGATGCTCACTAAGTAATACTAACAAGAAATAAGGAGTTTCATTTTTCTTTTTTGTGCAGATCGAAAATTAAGTTCTTGATGCCTATATTACTGAAAATAATACAAAAACTATTCCTCTAGTTAAATGCTTGTGGTAAAATATTTTTGAATAGATCAAATAATGGCACTTTCAGCAGATTTTCTATGTGTTCACTATTGTTTCGATAATAGTTTTAGCTGGTTTTCTTTTAGAAGGTATTCCATTTAATCTGACAATTTCTCTTGAGTCCTGAATATTGTAAATAATTTCTAGAATCAATATTCATCGTTCGGAGTGGTGTATAAATAACAATAGTAATATAAAATATTACATTTTCTCTCATTTTATTGTATCACATACGTTAATATTCGTTTATTTACAAGATTTTATATCCAGTTTCTTTTTCTTTCTCTGTACGAAAAACTTAAACAAACTCGATTGCTGCATGTTATTATTTATAAGTAGATTTCTATTGTTCGAGTTGCAATATGAATGCGAATGTCAAATGTAAATGCAACGTTATTCAATATTTTTATTTCTGTTCGAGGCAAGCAACGATCACATTATTTTATTTATTTATTTTAGTTGGATTTGGATTGCGAATCAAACAAATCATGCATCGTTGATAATATTAAAAGATATAACATAATATCAATAATGGCAAAAGAAAGATATAGAATGGCTCATATATTTATATAGATTTCAGCTATCGTCTTTTTGAGTGTAGCACGAAGAAAATCAAACTAATTGTATCAGTTACACTAGATTGATTTAGACATAGAAAAATTTCACAAATATATAGTTGCAGAATTTATGTCACTGTCTTAAAAACAAAACAAAAAACATTTCTTAAAAAAAATAAGTATTTCACGTTTCACAATTTTAAATACTGTTAAGTTGGCTTTTCAACTACTTCGTTTTGTAAATTTCTCTCAGTGTATAAATATCGCATCATTTAAGAAATTTTCTCGTTTGCTGATTATTGTTAGAGATTACAAATAGAATATATAAATGGAGTATCTCGTGTAATTTTTCTTGTTTATTTAATAGTATAGGTGAGACATTTTATGTCGTTCTAAATAACGATTTATAGTAGAGTTTATTTACATTAAGTGAATACGATAAATTTCTTCAAACAAACTTATGTCATTATCGTCAAACGTCAGCACATCTGATCAAATCAAAGTGTATCAAAAGCAACACTTATAGAAATTAGTATTGTAGACGAGGATGCGAGGGATGCTAGTATTCTATTCATAAGAAACATACATTACAAGAATTCAAATCGAGATCGAGTCAGTTCTAGATCTTAACAAATCGATAGTATCGTATCATTCAAAGTTAGATTTTAAAAACCGTAAATTACTCAATACATCGGTAAAAATAATCGAGAGAAGTCCTCAATTTATGCATTTAATTGATTTCATAAATCGTGATACATTCACTGTTGTTTGAGTGATTTCGATGGTATGGGCAGATTTCAGAATGACCTTTAGTTTTTTAATGATACATTTTTTGAATGCATACACATAGCGAATACTCTTTTCATGGACAACAGTGTTGTGTATCCAGGGACGGCGCGGGGGGAGGGTCCCTCCTACTTTGGAAATTTTTGTTTCAATTGTTTCAATTTTACTCCGATTTGAAGAAAATAGAAAAGATTTTTATTGATTTCCTCCGATTTTTGAAAAAAAACCTCCCGTTTTCAAGTAACTCCCCTATATTTTTATTACTTCGCGCCGTCCCTGTGTGTATCAGAAAGCGCATGGCCCATTTTGTCACTTAGCAATATATTTGACATGTTAGTCATAAGTGCACACAAAAAATCATACGCTACAATGTTTTTTTCTGCCAAACGCCAACGAAATGTTTGTTGAGTCAACATAATTCACATGTGATTAATGCAACCCACGTTATTCATTTTATTTTACTCCTTTAGGAAGTCGACCGCGTCTTTTTTTCTTCCACAAACAAAAAGTTTTAATATATCTGTCAGAAAAAAAACTTCACTCTCCTACTTGTTGCTTGTTTTTGTTGGTAGATTTTCGTATCCACAGCAAAGTTTTATATGTCACTTCGTATCGTCAGAGTATCGTCAGATAAAGCAGCGAATAAAAGATAAGTGACTTAAAAACATCTATATGGTTTAGCAAAAAGATTTTAATATCTCTAATCGTAAAGGTATTTGATTGAAATCGAATAAAAAGATTGCTTGTTCTGTAACCAGATTACTATAATTCTAGATCAAATAAATGTACTTTACCAGTTAACAATTTCTTTGATTTCTATTTTTTATAGATTAGGATTAAATCAATAACATATAAATTGATTTAATATGGCAACGCCATATAATAACAACGAAGAAGTCGATGGTATCTCATCTGGTAATATACACAATGCCACTTGTGATAGTTGTCGATCCCGTCGTATCTACAGTGATAGATACAAATGTCTACAATGTAACGACTATGACCTATGTGGTAATTGTTTTGAAGAACGATGTCAGACAAAATCGCACTCCAGTGGCCATGCAATGGTTCATTTTAAAATTCCAAACGAACTGTTCGGTCAGTACTTTCCTAGTCCAAGCGAAGTCACACTAAAAAAACTAGCTGAACTATTCTCAAACAAAAAGCATAATATCAAATGTAGCGGCTGCTCAGTGGAAATCGTCGGTGTTCGATTCAAATGTGATATTTGTCATAATTACAATTTATGTTCGAAATGTATGCAACAAGGAGTTGTCAGTAAAAATCATCAACAAACTCACCCACTAGTAGTTGCCAGCAGTCAAAGTCTGCTTAAAGTCGATATAAATGATATTGTTAAAAAGGAAGAACTTGGCCGTGGAGCGTTCGGTTAGTCTTTTCATTTTCATTTTATATTGACGCATACGCCTTTTTATAGGTCAGGTATATAGGGCTGTTTGGTTGTCAAAAAAACGCGAAGTAGCATGCAAAGTAATCCAAGTGACAGCACATAGACTTCATTTAGAAGAAAGCTTTCGCAAGGAATTAGATGCTTACGCTGAACTATCAGGAGCTTATATTCTCAAAACATTTGGCTATGGAGAACGTCTAATGGTCAATGGCAGCAAAGAATGTTTTTTGATAACTGAATTCATGCATCGTGGTAGCCTTGCAAATGTCATTCATAACGACATTGAAAAAATTTCACTTCGACGAAAATTAACAATGGCCTGCCATGTTGTAAGTGGTATGCGTAAACTACACGGGCATACAATGATTCATCGTGACATACGCCCTGATAATATTCTTGTTTCAAGCAATTATACCGCAAAAATTGGTGATATGGGCATAGCACGTGTCTTCGATCCTAATGAAAAGCATACACTAATGGGTTGTATGCCATTCATGCCACCTGAATTTCACAGGTAAATCTTTGAAATTGAAATAATACACAGTGATTACTTTTGTTTTTCTTTTCTCTTTCTTTTTATAGAGGTGATGGTGATTATGATCAATCACTCGATGTTTTTACATTTGGATTGACATTAAATGAATTATTTACTGAAAAACTTCATCGATTCATTCAAGCCTCTAAACGTATTCAGATTACTAAGGAAAGTCCTATCTTTTTCGATCTGATTACTAGCTGTATTAATAATGAATCTTCTCAACGTCCAACAGCTACTGAAATAGAAGACATTTTAAATAAATATCGGCGAGCTGCAGATAAATATATAAAAGAAGAACATCCCAATTACACCAGCCAAACACTTGCGGCCAAAGATGCCATTTTTATAAAGTTTTACAGTGAACATCATAAACTGCAGAAAGAGGAACCGAAACAAATCTATGTGCTACCACCAAAGTCTCACTTCAGTTCGGCTTTAGTCCACCAATATTTCGACGATATGATGAAACAATTTAATAATATTCGACATCATATCGATGTTCGACGATCAAAACATCAGCAGCCAATCCCACAAAAAGTCAAAGAGTTGAAATACTTTGATAATGAATCCATGGATGATCACGATCAACGGAAGAAACCTGCACCAATAAAAATTGATCAAAGACCAGCCCGATGTCCTAGTCCACCATCGGATTTTCTTCGACTTCCAATGGAGAATCACCAACAATTTCTCAATTTAGTCCAACATAAACGATCACGTACACCAACTCCTATGTCTCCAAGTTTTGACAATCAAGCGCATCAGGCACATTTTTTCCGTCGAATAGATGAAGTTCGGTGTATTAGCGCAAATAATATGGTCAATCAACGTCATATTGAAATGAACTGGAATGCCGATTTTGATCAAAAATTTCCTGACTTTCAGCGGATGAGGAGAGAGTTCAAATAGACATCTAGCGTATTAATATCTACTTTTTGATTGAAAAAGACTTTGAAAAATTTTCCAGAGTTCTATTGTATATTACAGTTAAATACATTAATTGATTATGAGTTTTCATAAAGAAAAAAACAACAACTTACTGTTATAACGTGATGAATGCTAAAGGACGGATTGCTTTGAAACTATTAAATAGAGAACTCAATAAATGATGAAGTATTTAAATTAGAATACCTACACCTAATATTATGATATTTAAATAGTCAAATGTATATATCGCACTTTGTTACAATTACGAAGCTATTGCTTAAAAAGGTGAGAGGTGTCCAAAGACTGAGGATTAGGAATTTGTAAGGTTAGTTAATCACTATCCGATTGTTAGTCCTTTAGAACCTGAATTTAACGTTTGATAAGAAACTAATAAACAGACATTTATTACGTAGAAGTGTCTGATATATATAGAGAGTTACTTGGAATAGGAAAGAGCTTACTAGAAGAAGATAGAGAAGAGAGAACTTACAAGAAGTCATACAGAAAAGAATGGAATATACTAGAAACGATCACATGACAGTTCAAGCAGAACGAAAAGTGATACATACATAGAATGACGTCATAACAATGGCAGAAATAACACAACGATAGATTGCGCTACATAACAAATTCCTCATCAGTTCCCCTACAGTTCCTAGCATACTAAAGGTAAAAATATGGAGTATTCACGATAATTTTTGTTCTTACACTCATTTTCACTTGGAAAATTGTGAGAATCAATGATCCCATGCAAAAATTATTTTTAAAACAGCAATATCGCGACTTTCATGAATGGTGGAACTGTGAGAGAACTTATAGTTGATTCCCATTTCCTCTAGGAATTATCACGGAGACACTGACAATTCCTCAGCACATTAGGAATTCCTATTTCTCAGTTCTTGGACACTGCTAGTTTACCGCAAAAAAATAATTCAGTATTTACCGCGGTAAACAGCCGGTTTTGATTAATACCGCGGTTACCGCTAAAAAAGCGGTTAACCGGTTCGTCTATAATCTTTCACAGAAAACGTCTTCCAAATCATCAATTAAGCTATTTTAAAGATTCTTTTCTTTACTTTTGCATGTGATAAACCTGTGCTAAAAGCCGCCGGTTTTATCGGCCAGGTTACCGGCTCCCATTACCACAGGAAGGAAAAATATCGCGGTTTACCGCAAAAAATGATCCGGTATTCGCAACATGGGTTGTATAGAAATATGTTCTGATTGGTCTTGTATCATAACAATCATCAGTGGAATTGTAATAATTAATTGTCTAAACTGTATATCAACGTGATGCTTCTATTTTTCTATGTGGCTTGAATCTGCATTCAAAAGATAAATTTTGTACAGTGATGGCTCGTTGACAAAATGAGTAACTGCAATTACATGTACAATACTATTATTAAGAATCAAACAAAATCTCTATTTACAATCGAAAAACTAGTCATACAGAGTCATGGAATTTTTGTTTTGTTTTCTTCAAAAAATGTTATATATACTTGAAAAACAGTTAGGAAATATTTATAACAATAAGATTCCGCTCTGAAAGTGCTAGAAATAATAGCTTTTATTCTGCGCATAAACAAAATCTCTTCGCACAAAGGATACTTATCTAAATTTGCCTGCATCATATAGTTACGCCATACATAGATAAAATAACTCAAATCATCATCGTTGATAATGAGTTCTACTGATATGATAATGAAAGTGAGTAACATGAAGATCTTTCATAGCTCAATTTATTCCTGCATTCATGACTATGCAATAGATACAGAGTGTAAGAAAGTAATCAAATTTTCTGAATAATATAAGGTATAGTCAATAGTCCATAAAAATATTATTTCTCTTCATGTGTCTTGATCAATCAAAGAACAAGCTGAACAACATACTCATCGTGCATGTATGACGTAAGCTAAACTTGCTATGTCATAACACATGAGTAAAAGAATGCACTATTATGATAAACACTTAGATGGGCTGAAAATTTATTAAATTATGAAAAAACATAGAACCAAGAAATGAAAAAAACGAAGCAATTACTAATGGATGAATAAAAGTAGTTTAAAAGTATTGTCATCATATAAAACATGAAATTTTCAACGCAGAATAATCCATAGTGCGTGAATAACACCTAGAAACGCACAGATGAGTTTTATGAGAATACGAATAAATAAAAACTGATTGTTGTAATCAATCATGTCGCTTACCTGGTACCCACATTATAAGTGTTAAAATAAGATTAATAATAAAATTTTGATTTATTTGATTTTCATGTAAGAAAACAGCCAAAGGTGGAATAAAAATGGCAATGATAACAAGAATTAGCTGTTCAACCATATTAAAATAATGGTCTTTTCAATTTGTTAAATCTGTTATCTAGAGTCGAGCAGATTCAATATTTTAAAAGAAAGAAAGGCAGCATTTCTCGAATTAAATTCATGTTTGTAAATATATACAGAAAAAAACATTTCTACGCATTCGACACCATTGTTTCTCGTTTAACAGAAATCCTTCTGTGTTCAAAAAAGAATGAGATGAAACATGAGCATATTACCTATAGGAGGCATTGTACGTAAGCCACGACCAGTTACAGCAAAAGGTTGCTAAGTCGATCTCACCGATTTGGCTCATACTTTTACAGTAGGTAGCTCCAACAAAGTTAGGAAGAAATCGAAAATTTCAGCTCGAACGGATCATCCATTCTGGAGACATATGCACTCGAAGTAAGACGGGATCGCATTTTTTGTACTTCGACAATTTTCAGTAAATTTTCATTTTCTCAAGAACGATAAGAGCTGCACCAAAACGTTTCTCACCGTTAATAGTATTGAAAGTATCTTATGTTTGAAAAACTTTCTCCGTGCGATTAATCTGGCTCAGCAAATAGGGCGCCAGTGTATAGGGCCGATTGGTCACATCAGTGATGTGGGTGAATTCAAAAATAGTCTCATATGAAAGAGCAGATCAAACTGCATCGAATGGTGTGCTCAAAACTTTGTTATTTTGATTGTCAGTAGCGAAACGTTTTTCAATCAGATCATGATATTTTCAAGAAAAATTCATTTGAAAAAAACACTTGTGCTCGTTTATTTTTCATATATTATTTTTATTTATTCTAATATTCGGACATATCCTGATAGCGCGTGCAATTCTCTACTATTCTATAGAAGAACCTCTTGAAGAGCACGTATTGGATGAGAAAAAAATAAAGCACAATAAAGGCATCATAGTCCTCATATTTCTCTAAAACTAACTTTTGTTCTTTTTTTTATTTTCTAGTTAGGTAAATACAAAAGCAGCTATGCACTCTGCTAGCGCTTGAAATTCTGCATCTTTTGATATGTCACTGAAAAACCACCAAGATTCAGACGAGCATTTAGTGCAGACCATAATGGGCACACTCACGTCAGTGAAAAGCATCTAAGTCTTGGTATCGAGGCGATTATATCATTATAGCTTACTTTGGTAGAGAAACAAATAGCTCATTCAGAATCAGCATGAAAAACTGCATCTAACTTGATACTTTTTGTAGAAAAATAATTTTTACCAAAAATTCACCTTTAGTACTCCTCAGCAGTTTGTTTTTCAAAATTGACCTTGGGGTCCCCTTCAGGTGAATTTTCGGGAATAAGGCATTTCGCACTAACGTTGCATTACGATTTCCCGACATAAAAACATAGATACTCTTCGGAATGACAAATATTTAAAACAAGCAGGATGTTCGGATTGAAATATGGACAACTTTCATTCCGATTTTCCTGTATATTTTTAAAATAAGATATCCTGACCTACATGTGTTACGAACTCCCCTGTAAATGTTTTTAAAGGCAAAAATCAATTCCGAACACCCGAACGGATTACCGAGTATCCGGGACACTTGTACGAAATGTCCTAGTCCCGAGTTTTTGGTAAAATTTTTTTTTTTTCAAAAAGTATTATGATTAGCGCAGTTTTTCATGCTGATTGTGAAACTGCTATTCGTTTTTCTATCACACTAAGCTATTGGGATAAAAACACCCAGTTACGAAAACTTGCCTACGAGGAAAGGTCCTAGGTGTTTCTCTGGAATTTCAACGAAATTTACGTGGATTTGCGAAGTACAGCGCTGGTATCTCAAATACACAAAAAAAATAGCGGCTGAGACTAATCCGTTAAAAATATTTAGAATAAAAATATTTTGTTCCTAGGACCCTGAGGGAGACCACAGATTGAATTTTTTAAACGAAAAGTCATGTCTTTCTTGAAATCGACTCTTTCATTCCGCACGTCCATGTTTGCCTACTGTTAGCAGTTTTTATACAGGAGAAGATAACACCTTCGTAAAAAAATGTATGCCCGTGTGTGAATATCAAGTAGTCAAGAGACATTTTCTATCTCTTCAAATATTTAGGATAGAAAAAGATAAAGCCAAGAAGTTTTTATGGTGATTTGTTCTCTATAAAACGATAAAGAGATTCTATCGTAATGATTACTGTTGTAAATTTATATGATTCATCGTATTCAGATAAAGTCAACACTCTCGCTGATATACTAATAAAGCATATAGGCACACAACGGTAACATTTATCCATTCTTGAATTATTAAAATATATGCATACTTCGATGCATAATATAACAATGTTGCTTGACAGTAGGTTTACATCGATTCTATAAAATCTAGGGTAGTAATGACTGGATATTGTAACCTTAGTTTACAATCACCGAAATTAAGCGATATACTTCTGATATGTTTTCACAGTAATATCACTTTCATCTTGGAATGGTAACATACGATAGGGCATTGGGTTCTACATCGATTTGCTTAAGAATAAGTCTATCGAAAACACGAGTTGTTGGTATATCGCTTGGTATTTGCTATTTCGTTGGCAGTGAGTGGTATGTGAGCTGAGAATTGTGCTCAACTAGTTATCTAGTCAACCAGTAGAAACTTACAGCGTTTAATAGACTCTTGTAAATATGCATCTATCAATTGATAGCACTTTGAAAACCCTTCATCATTGCACGTTTTTCAGATTTCAAAGAAATTGGTCGATTAAAACTTCCCTACCAGATTCTTCAACAGCTACGATTTTATAACATTTTGATTACTGTTCCGGAGATTTTGGTTACCAAACATACAATATGCAGCAAAACTCATGAGATATTTGGAATCAGGATTAAAAACTGTGTCGACCTATGAATGTCTGAAATTTGTTTTGCGAACTTGATTTTTCGTTAAAAACAACAACCTGTGGTCCTCCCTAGGGTCCTAAGAATAAAAATTTTTTGTTCTATTTTCTTTTAACGGATTGGTCTTAGCCACTATTTGTTTTATATTTGAGATACGAACGCTTGACTTCACAAACCCACATAGGTTTCATTGAAATCGCAGAGAAACGCCCAGGGGCCTTTCTTCGTTAGATGAGTTTCACTGACAAGGGACCATTCCCAAGTGATTCGCACCATTTGGGTTCATGCTGTGCTCATAAATAGGACCCAGTGAGACTAGAAAAGATCTAAAAGATTTCGTGCCATTAGGCCTTTTCTAGTCTCACTGGGCCCTACTTATGAGCACAATATGAACCCAAATGGTGCGAATCACTTGCGCATGTTCCCTCGTGAGTGTGACTATTATACGCTGCACTAAATACTCGTCTGCATTTTGGTGATTTTCCAGATTTTCCAGTGACATATCAAAAGATGCATAATTTCACGCGCTAGCAGAGTGCATAGGTGCTTTTGTATTTACCTAACTGGAAAATAAAGAAAACGAACAAAAGTTGGTTTTAGAGAAATGTGAGGACTATGATGCCTTTATTGTGCTTTATTTTTTTCTCATCCAATACGTGCTCTTCAAGAGGTTCTTCTATACAATAGTAGAGAATTGCACGCGCTATCAGAATATGTCCCAATATTAGAATAAATAAAAATAATATATGAAAAATAAACGAGCACAAGTGTTTTTTTCAAATGAATTTTTCTTGAAAATATCATGATCTGATTGAAAAACTTTTCGCTACTGGCAATCAAAATAACAAAGTTTTGAGCACACCATTCGATGCAGTTTGATCTGCTCTTTCATATGAGACTATGTTTGAATTTACCCACATCACTGATGTGACCAATCGGCCCTATACACTGGCACCATATTTGCTGAGCCAGATTAATCGCACAGAGAAATTTTTTCAAACATAAGATACTTTCAATGCTATGAAACGATAGCCCATTGACTATACTATTAACGATGAGAAAAATTTTGTTGCAGCTCTTATCATTCTTGAGAAAATGAAAATTTACTGAAAATTGTCGAGGTACAAAAAATCCGATCCCGTCTTACTTCGAGTGCATATGTCCCCAGAATGGATGATCCGTTCGAGCTGAAATTTTCGATTTCTTCCTAACTTTGTTGGAGCTACCTACTGTAAAAGTATGAGCCAAATCGGTGAGATCGATTGAGCAAGGTTGGTCGTGTCTTATGTGCAATGCCTCCTAGAGCTTAGCGAAAGTAAAAGCTATATATATATTAGTTTCAAACTTTCGTCCTAAAATCAGCTGCCATATTAAGCTAGTGTTGTTTTTGGATTCATGTATCAACAATGGTGTCATCAATAACATGCAGTAAGATAATGTTAAAAGCCATAATCCATGAAGGGATTAGATGAGAAACGTTTCATGTTGTGCGCCGATTAACAATTGTATTTACAGCATCCACAATAGTTTGTAAAGTATTTTTCCCTTTTAAAAATACAAAGCGCAATCATAAAATAACATGTTCTTTTCACAACCTAAGATTTTTAATACTACCCATCTTGTGACGTATTTTAGTTTTTTCTCGCTAAAAGATACCAAGGTATGAAGTGATAAGATAACAACAACGGACTGTTTTTGTAATAAATACTTATCTCATTCACTCTGTATGCCGTCGTTTATCTCATGGTTTTAATAAAAGAAATATTAAGTGATGAAAAATGAAATGGTAAATACCCATATTCATCGTGTTCTGTGAAAGGAAATTCGCATGGAAATAGAAAACTCTGCATTCAAGTTATATAGGTACACAAGCAGTTGAGCTTTGGATACTCAATGAAGTAAAAAATAAATACTTCGTTTCTATTTGAAGTTTTATTCTTTTGTTGAATACTTGAACGAACAACAAGTTAAATATAATATGATGAGAAAATAAAATTTAAAAACAAAATATCATGCTAGAAATCCTAATTGAAAAACGACATGTATGTGTAAATAACACTACTAGTAAAAGAGATGAAGTTCTGACAATCTAACACTATTATTGAAAAATTAAAGGTTGTGCCTAAAATAACGCTATCCTTGATGCAAATGAATAGATGTCTAAAAGCTAAATACTGTAATTTGACAAAACTGATATCTCAGTATGCTTGTAAGAGTTAATATCAACACGGTCAATATTTATTACACATTGCTGCGCGAATGTGTGTTAGTATTGCACCAGGGCTACATTGGAACAGGGTTGCTAAATCCAAAATTTTAAAAACAGAAATTTCTCATAAAACAGCAGGAGTTGACTCAGAGATTCTTCTTGAATTAGAAAACAATATTAGCTGACTTATTTAGAAGAAATTTGAAATTTTCAGGTTCATACATGCTTGGTTAGTATTTTTCGCTGTCACTATGGGTATGATCAAAGTTTTCTCTCGTATACTATATAATAAAAAATGAAGATCGTTACATATGTTCTATGTTATTATTTATTTCAAAAATTGCCATAAAATATTAAAATAGTAAACAAAATAAAGTTCACCTAGAAATCGATCTGAACCAAAAAAAGTCATAGATGAACAATAAATTATCAGTGGTGCCGTTTGTGCTATTTTTGCAATATAATTGTATTGATCAAACGGTCGAATGTGTTTCAATAGATCCTGATTATTTAAAACGTAACTATAAAACTCTATACAATTGTTTTGATTGTTCATCTTAAATTTTAATTCTGCACCAACAAGATCATTGTTCATATTATTTCGATGATTATTTCATTAAAGTTGTATGCAGCTGAAAGTGAATTCAGAAGAATTATTTGGAACTGGTATATTAAAAAGTAAAATTCACTACTTCTTGTAAATTCGATGCATTTTCAGCATGGACTAGCAAAATAGAAGGAAAATGATTTTCAGAGTCTTGTCAAGGTTGTGGCACAGTGTTCTCTTGTAATGAATTTAGTACTTTATCAATTTCATCTTGTTGAATGAAAAACATCTGATAAATACTAAATGATGCTTTCGTTTTTATCTGCAAAATTCAAGTTTTTCACATGAAATTTGTTTATCAAAGGCATACTCTTAATTTAAGAGATATCAACAAAATAGTATTTTTTCTTCTTGCTTATTGTACTTGCGTCTTCAGTGAATCAGATGGAACACATTGCAAATCGCTGCTTAAGATGAAAAAGAACTATTTTTTTCCTTAGTGCCGGACCAGTTTAACATGATGACAATTTGTAGCGAAAATTTACTGATAATCGCATTACAAAATTATAAGAATGACTATTAGAATCAGTTTATTGATTGTGTCCAGTTATGGATGTAACTGTTTTATTTAGTTATTTTCGATTAAATAAAAGAAAGGATGTATGCATCTCTCAGAATCACACTAAAAATTCACTTCATTTTTTCCAAATTAAAGAAAAATCTGAGGAAGTAGGCAAAATGCATTCGTGTCACCAATTTACCGCAACATTTGACAGTACTTGATATTAAAACATGTAGTCTTAGTATGTTTTACTGATGTTTCTGGTTGCTTAATATTTTAACTTTATTTAAGAATTGTATGTCGATCGACCAACAAAATCGAGTCAATATCACAAGTTAGTAGTTTTATTTGTGAGCATATTAGTGTACTTATTGATTATTACATCTTGAAAAAATGTACTTTTTTTCGACTGGTAAAGCAAGCAACAAATCATCAAGAACAAACCGAGTAGGTTAAATGAAAGTTTTCTATTAAAAAGAATTCATCGACGTTTTTCGACTGTTGATTCTTAATGAGAAAAGTCTTTATTTTATGAATGAGTTTTATATTTTTTCACTGGTATTTGAAAGAAAGAAAATATCACCAAAAATCTTTTAGAGTTGTTGAGGAATATAAAAATAAGTTCTCTTGAATATTTCCAACAATCAAATTGCACTTCAATCATGAAAAAAGTAATTTGAATGAATAAACAATAAGATCATGCTACAGCATGAAAAATAATTTTTCTTCAAGAACTATATTGATGTTAGGAGATGAATATTAGTAATACGTTATTAGTTTTCTATTCATTATTTATTTAGTGTATTTAATGTTAACATTGTAATCATCATTTCTCATTGTTGGAAAAAGAGCGATTTTTCCATGCTTAAAAATGAACTAGACCAGTGTTTCTTGTCAAAATTAATGTCCTGTCTTTGAAGCTTAGAAAGTCTTATCTTCAAATATGTTTCATTCTTTGTGAAAATACCTAAAAAGAAATAATACATAGTATCGAAGTGTCAAAGTAAACTTGAATTGCTACAAATAGTTTCTGTTGTTTGTTTTCGAGTCAAATAATCTGAAGGAGATTATGTCTGTTGTTATTTGATCTAGTAGGTAATTCAAATATTAGTGAGATATTATTGATATATATATGTTTACGCAGATACACATTCGTATGCATTCGGAAATATAAAAATACTTCATCGATACAGCCATGCAAGAAGGAGGTCGTGTTGATTATTACTTTACTTTACAACAAGTTAATAATCAACCAATCAATGAAAGTAAAATGACTTTATTAAAAGCTTGTGATGCACATTATATTCAGCATGAAAATAAATGCGTTGATATCGGTACTGTTGGATGGTTCTTCAATCAATATACAGTTGAAAATCCTTGAGAAAGTCGATGGCCAATAACTAGCAGTAATAACAAAGGAAAAATCAATTTAAAACGATATAAATATTTTATTTTTCTGAATTCATCAATATGCAGTCCTTTTTTTCCTCCTTATTTTATTGAATTAGTATTACAGTCGAACAATAATTACTATTGGTATTCGATATTTACAAATCGTACTGATAGTAAAATAAAACTAGTCGGATGTACAATAACTTGTGAAACAGTTCCACACGTTCAAAGTTATTTATTAGTTACTGATTTCACTGGCTTATCATTATTATTAAAACCCGGCAGTTGGGATGCAAGAAGAAATATTTGCTTGTTATCCAGCTAAAGATCGCGTCTCGATCTATAGTGAATTACCATCATCAAATCAAATATTAAAATCGTGTTATATGATTGATTCTCTTTTAACAAAATATCAGAAAATTAATTTCACTGATCGACGTAATTGGTTTTGTAATTCAAATAAAAATCCATATAAAGACAAAGCTTTCGAAGTTACATAATTGGAGCTATATGAAGCTGTTTTGGTTAAATATAATGATTTGGAATTTTTAAAAGATGCTAGAGATAAAGCCAAACTATATCAGAAATGGGTCAATGATATCAAACAAATAAAAAAAAGAATTTTAAACAATTAGTGAATTTCGCGTTGATCAATTTTTCTTTTAGTTATAGAATCATAAGTTTATAATGATTTTTATTCAAGTTTGATAATAATTGTAATAAGTTAGTTACTTTTTCAATAGAGAAAATCAGATAGAATTTCCTACGATACTAACCAATAAGTGATGTTATAGAATGGTACTGAAAAGAATATTCATTTCACTTTGATTTTCTACTCGGTTGTTCGCTGAATTTTGAATTTGTATTTTAACATTTACTTTCCTCTCTTGAGAAGAATAGTTACAGTTACAGTTATACTGCAGTAGGAGATATAAATGAAAAAAAATCGACTCCAGGAGCCTTACTTCGGTATCATATCGGAATCAAAATCGTAAAAATCGTATAATCGAGCTCCATATTTGTAGGTCAAATCTGTTTTTTCACTTACTGAAAAAAGAACTTGAGTTTTACAATTCTACTTGACTGTTTCTTCTCTAATATTTATCTCCTGGTATTGGAAAAATACCAAGAAAAAAAGACGTAACTTAGCCATTCAATATCTACAGAAGGCATCGAAGAAAAGAACTTAGAAATACGGGGAAAACTATTTTAATAAACTTTCTCTCAATAGACTTGAATTATGTAGTATTTTGAATTTTTTTCAATGCTTTCAGTGTATCGAAACATGTCATAAATCACTTTTTATTTAACAGCCATGCTGATATTCAACTGAATAATGACAGGGCCTTTGTTCATGTTGCTCTTTATAGTGTTATTTACGATCAAAAACTAGCGATGATAATATTTTTTGACGGGACAATAATCATTGCAAAAAAAACCGCACGTTAACTAATTTCATAGAAACAAATACTGGATAGTAACTGAATAAATTCAATTGCCATTGAACATATGTTAGTGGACAGATGGTGAGACGTTCAAGTGTTTGTCGTTGAAAGTATCAGGATTTAGTCATACCATTTGATGTAATTATTCATGAACGGAATCGTGATATAGTGGCTGCCAGGAAAGTAGATCACTGTGAAAGCCTTACTAGTTACAGATAAACCTATTGCGATGGTTTGTATGTGTGTAATGTTGGTTATCATTTTATCAACAACGATTTTAATCACATGCATGTACACCCTCGTGTACGTCTTGTCCAAAGAGTTATCTCACACTGTCATATCAAAATAGTTAGTTCTCTTTTTCTTCGTAATTATATATAAAGATGAGATCGAACTAAATTTCAGATAGGAACACTTTCGGCATCGTGATTAATTAATTTAATATATTATGTTAAAATAAGATAAATCATGAGTTCAAAAGTTAAGTGAATATTGTTCGCCTGTCAATATATGTACAATTTCTGCAAAATAAAACGATGAACAGCGACATTAAAATTGATTGTAACAATGCATGCCTTTTCTCTTACTTTTTTTCACCTTTTCTAGCAAGTAGCATAGAAGAAACGTGCATCACAAGTAACAATACTTGATTAACCCGACCCATAATAACCCGAGCTCGGATTGTTTGGAGGAAAGCCGCTAAAGTTTCCAGTACTTCCTGCATAGTTACCTACTCGAATGATATAACTGACTGTTTTCTTTTTAATTAAATACTAAGATATTTACCAGGATATTGATTTCCAAATGTATCACCTCGAAAATTAGCATCTAAACAACGAAGTTCTTTATAGGTTCAAAATGTAATCTTTTTTACCAGTATAAGGTTGACCATATTGGGTGTTACTCCACTGGAGCTGATTTTGTGGATTTATTTGATTATTGTTCCACGTCTCCTGGCCAAATGCATTGTTAACCGGGTTGGCTTGATTCATATTACTATTATTCCAATGTTGTTGATCGGGTGCCCCTAATTGATAATTGTTGTGACTCACTTGCTGAAACTGGTTGGGTTGCCAACTTTGTTGGTTTACTTGATCATACTGCCCTCCAGTGAATTGACTGTTATTGGAATTATACTGTTGATTGAGCTGATTCTGATCCCACAGTTGCGCAAGTGTATTGTTTTCGCCATAGTGCTGATGAGCAGGATTATTATCCCATGATTGTTGACTTGGCTGATTAAATTGGTTAGGACTCCAATTTTGCTGGCCGAACTGATTGTTTACCCAATTTTGTTGATCAAGCTGATTTGCACATGAATTTAACTGATAGCACGAATTATCACCAAGACTTGATTGAGATCCTGATAAAACTTACAAAAAAGAAGATCTCTCAATATAGACAAGCTTAGAAAAGCTATTCGTTTTCGAATGTAATCCTGGTTCTGAAATCATGAGAATAAACTAACCTCCTCCAGGATATTGCTGTTGATAATTATCATAAGGATTATTTGTATTCATCGAATAACTATTTCCTGTGAAGAATGAATCTATGAAAATTCTATACACTCTCTAAAAATCAGGTTCGTACCAGATGCATTTGTAGCAGCGAGATTGTCATCTTCGTTTACATCCTGTATTTCTACATTATTGTCAGTATCATCATAACCATTATTGTACGTAAGAATATTCTGATAGTTGACTGTATCATTCCTATCCCAATATTCTTCACCGAAGTTAGTGTTAGTCAATTTTCGAATTGCCCACACATCAAAACAATGTTCTGGATCTGTCATATATTCATATGGAATATAACAGTATCCATTTTCACCCTAAAAATACCATACAAAGAAAAACGATTGTTTACCCTAAGAACCAATTAGATGAAACATCGACTTTTTATCTAGATACTTCTACTAATTTAATTAACATTGACTAGCTTCATTTTAAAACTCTAATCCTAAATTAGAAGATCTTCGAATGAACTCATAATATTGCTCAATATTAAAATTTAAATGTGGACTTTCTTCAAAGGCATGAATAGAGCGACCAAAAATCAATAAACTAATGAAATGCGAAATTTCATTCTTTTAAGATTGGAAACATACCCTTTAGTCTAGTCTTATGAATTTCTAGAGAAATTCTACGCAAATTTTACTTTTTAAATCTCGATTTAAATACTGTTGGGATCTTCTCAGCTTCATATGACAACTATTTTATTATTGACGCAAATCTTATGTAAATCGGCGGTTTCCAGTTCAGAGGGTATTGAAATGTTTGAACTAAATATTTTTTCATCAAAAATATATCTGGACGTTCCAAATGAAGAAATTCGTGCAAAATAACGTCACTGTCCTAATACACTTATTCCTTCGATGATTGCAGTATAATCTTCTATATGACCCAGAAATATGTAAATTACACTAATAATCGAAAACATATAGTGACTCATCAACAAAAGATTTGAATTGATAAAACTTCAAAAGCTATTTTAATCTCAACTGATGTAGTCACAAGATTATATGAAAAATAATTTTCTCGTCACTTCTTTAAATCCTTAATAACACAAGTTATACTATATAAATATCCAAGTAAATCAATTATATGCTTACCCATTTTTCTCCCCATGAATTTCGAACAATAAAAACTTTCGATCGATCGCTGTAGCCAACTGCCAAAAGCGCATGACTAAAAAGTGTTCAGACAAGAAAAATATTATGATCAACTTTTTCTTATGCATATGAAAACGACTACCAGCCGTGTGTCTTTCGATTTTTCGCCGATGCATCAGGCATCGGTACTAAACCTGTTTCCGTTGCCTTATCAAATGATGAATAGAGTCTTAAACCAAATGCAAATGGATATCCTTGTGCCAAGCATGATTTCATTTCAAATAAATTAATATCAACTTCGAATGCTTCTGAAATCGTATGATTTTTGGCTTCTTGATAGGCCTGATCATTCGGACGAGTATTCACTTTTGAAACATTGTATGCCCAGATAGATTCGAGGCAAGTACCGAATTCTTCGAGTGCCTCAATAGCACTGGTCATGGAACAACCAGAATCAGTGACAGAACCAAACTTTTTGTTTTTTGCTCGAGCATTATAATAAATAAATAATCGACTGACATCAGTATTTCGTCCATTATCTTTTTTTGTCAAATATTCATATGCTCCTAGATTTACATAAATGGCAAAGTTCAATGAAAAACCGTGCATCTTTATTCTCACCTGCTAGAGCATTAGCCGCACTGAAAACAAAACAGCATAAAAATAAATATACGTAGATTGAATATATTATCGAAATAGTTACCAACTGCCGATTTTCGATTGGTCTTCGACTGTAGTCATGTCTTTTCGAAGATCAACCTTAGGAGGAAGTTCTTTTTGAGTGTAAACTATATTATCACGAAAGGCTCGGCATAGGTTACGCTTGCTTGGTAAACGATTCGATGGTATAATACCGTTTAAACGATGCTTTTGAGCATTGATTTTGTTGATCAAATAAGTTTTTATTGTCATTATTTAGGATAAATACAATGGTGCTGTTTTATAAACTCAATGAAATTCGTGTCGTCCTTTGTTCTTTTATAATATGCATTACTCAGATTTTATTGTTGGAAATTTAATTTTTGCCCTTTCTGCCTGCGTATTCTTTTTTATCGGCACATGCTGTTTGTTATTGTTTTTATACAACAAAATAAAGAGAAATTTGTGCTGAATCATTCCAACCTTTCTTCTGTTACTGCCTCTCGCCGTTCTCTCTGTTGCATGTTCCCAGTAACTAAGCACCAATAAACATAAGAATAGAACAGGCTACGAAAAAGACGTAAAATATGGATAATGAAGCCCTTGGAGGAAAAACAAAATTTAACCTATCAAGCAACTGTACCGGAGAGTCGCTAGTCGAAGTTACATTTTTGTCAAATATACTGTTGCAAGCTAAGAGTAAATCCATGATAAGATTCTATAATTCAACTAATTATCACATAGTGTGAAAAAGTTAAATAATCGAAGTTAAATGTCCTCTTGATATTACTAAGTCATGAATTTGAAAATTTGCTACGTTCACTAAGACCATTACGAAAAAACAATTTGAATACTATTCGATTTCATTTGCATTTTTATATTTCACAAAGTAGATTTAGTCATACTGCGGAGCTATTCGAAGTTTTTTGCTTCTGCACATAGATTGGTTGCGATGTATGATCATTAGTGAAGCAAGTCTACCGCTGCTCACTTAACATACATGCTCGTTCAATGGAGAGGAAAAAGCTACTAAAGAATCGTGAATAAACTTTAATGCATTAGTTATCGATTTTTCATTGTTCTTTTTTCCATTTGTATGTGTGTCGTGTGATTATTTTCTCATTAGTGATGCAACATTATAGACCAAGTTACATATTTTCTCATCATTATTTTTGTGGTCGAGTCGAAAATATACTTGATAAATAAGTTTCCGCTTTCAACTTATCTCGAAACTCACACAGAAACCGTCTAACTGCTACTATTTCATGGTTCTCAAGACAAGCGTATACTGTTTGTACATTAGTTAACAGTGAACTAGACTTTTGAATTCCCTGGGACTCGTCATATGTACTCATTGGTTTCAAGAAAAAATTGAAACAAATGACAAAAACAAAACATATCGTTATGAACTTTTTCGTTTATTGCATTGCAGGTACACACTGTTGGAAAGTGCCATATTATTATTTTTGACTATTATTCATACCTTATTCGGATCAATTATATCCGAGGCAATATTTTGTTGTTTATTTACGATCTTAAATTCTTTGTCGATCTCTGATAAACCAATAAAAGACAAAAACGATGATGCAAAACTTGTAAAATCTGGCTAATAATGAACGATAATATCAATGATCTGTTCACCAAATGATGGATCATGAAACGTTTGTCGTAAGATTATGGCGACCCAAGGCATCAAAATTATTAAAGTCATCAAACTCATTGCTAACAATTGTACAATCATTCTACTATTTTTTTTCTATTTTTTCGATACCGATATCGATGCTGATACTTGTTGTTGACACACAATAATATGGCTAATCATAAGTAAATTGAAAATCAATAGAATGCAACATGGTAACAGTAGATTAACAATGATATCATAAGTCTTTTGAGTAAAAGTATATAAATAATATGCAACTCCACGAACAAATGTACTTCAGTCATACGCATGATTCGGTTTGCATGGAAAAAATAGAACAAGATACGTGTACACACCAAAAACATAAAAAATAAGGAATTCCAATAGGATATAGTGAGATAATAGCTTATATTTCATAATATACTGTTTATGAAATACTAAGAAGTATCGTTCAATAGATGCATACATAGTTAGAAATAAAGATGTACCTTCAAGAATATAATCCGAAAAAGTCCAAAATAGGCATGTATTTGTTGTCGGTGCATAACCTAATGAAAGATAGTATAATGAAAATTTTAATTATGCACTCTGTTAGACTAGTTTTATTAGATGTGTCTTCCGATAAAATTCAATTATTCATAATTATTTCAACAAAGCATAATATTCTGTTAATTGACAGTAATACTATTTTTTCTGTGATCGAGAAAATGAAGAAGCATCTGCAAGCTATTTTTAATAAGGCAATAAAACTCTTTTTTGTCTATTCTTTATATGAACTATGATGACAAAGGTGAACTCGGTATAGAATAATCTGCCAACAACATGCATGTCTTACTCTGTTAGTTGCAATAATAGGTTTCTGAAAAAACAGCAAGGAAAACGTATTTTTCAAAACTTGAAAATATCTACTTAGATGGCTACTTTCTTCCGATAGAACACGAGATAAAGTATTTCTGAAGCTTTTTCTTATCAGTGAACTCATGTCATTTCTCTTTTAACACAAGGAGAATTAATGTACAGTTTACAAATCATGAAGTAGAAAAACAAAAAGAGGAAAATAATGGGAAAGATACTAAAAAAGATTCCTGAACATCACTTTCTCATTTGATATGCAAACATTACAGGATATCAATATATTATTGTTGAAAAATATTTCATCAGCTTTCGAAATTAAATAGCCACAACGTTTCAAAATCACTAAATATATTCCAAGAAAGTTAACAAAGTGCCTCAGAAAATTGGAATATTCTTTATGATTTTTTACTTGCTAACAACATTATATTCATTTGTTTATGAAATTTTCTTTCATTCTCTTATCAGCAAATAAAATCATTTATCAATTCCCAGTTACTTCAAATATAATAATAAATATCAATCTAATGATGAAATAGATCTTTTTGTTTTGGATACTTTTGCAATTCACCAAAATATTGTCATGTTTTTCACATAAAACTCATGAAAGTCAGGTCTTTTTTAAAGTTTCGGAAGTTAATTGAGGTAGGATGAGTAACGTTTTGACTCTATCCATAATAAAATAAATAAGTTCGAAAAGTTGAAATTGTTTGCATTCTCTATTATTAAGTAAAATCATCGAGTAATTCAGATGGAAATAGACTATCAGTATATTTTGTTGTCAGCTTAATTGATGTATTTTCATCATCACGTTTCTTTTCATCTGATTTTGTGTCATATTCGGATACATAAATGGCGAGTATGCCGTCATGATTCTCATTTATAAAATGTTAAATGGAATCAAATTTTTGACAGTCAGTATTAGAATTGGAAAACCATTATATATATTAAAGTTGATTAGGCATATCAATTAAAAATATGACTTATACGAAAAACTCAGCACCGAACAGATAAGATATTTTTTATATACTACTTGATACATTGTGATACCCAAGGGGGAAAGTGCTGGCTCCAAGCACCAAAATTTACTATAAAGTGCTGAAGGTGCTGAACAGGTGCCGGAGGTGCTGAGCAGGTGCTGAAGGTGCT